ATGCTTAATTAAATGTACTTAAAATCATTGTACATTATTCAAAAAGAAAAAAAATAATTTGGGTATTTGAATTTTAAATGATGATTTTAAAAAAAAATAAATTAATTTGTAATCTTTATTTGTTTCCTGTTATTTTTCTTTTATTTGTTTGAGCACGATAAAATTATAATAAATATTATACACTGTATATATAAAAATATGTTTGTACAAAATACATGTAACAATAAATTAATTTGAGTAAAAAAAATTTTTTTTTCTTTATTTTCATCAGCAATTACATGTTTTTTTTAATGTATAATAATAATATAATACATTTTCTTATTTGAACATCCATATAAATTCATGTAAATCATTGTTACTTAAACTTGCGAAGACACATACTAAACAATTTGACAGTAAGTTAGAGGCGTAAGGCCAATTGTTTTTGAAAATTTTCATGCTTTCTTCTAATAAAAAGTTTCTCCTTACTCCTCTTGAAAAATAATTTTTTACAGTGGATGCATAAATCGGATATCGATTTACAAGTGTATCTGACAAGACAAATCCTTCAATATTGTCATTCTTCACAAATGATGCCAAATAATTATCACTTTTAGTGATAAAATCATAAAGTGAAATTGTTGTGTTTGGTATTTTTTCATTAACCATTTTCAACAATTCTTCTTGACACATTTGACGGTACCTCACAAATCTATCTATTTTGATAGACGAAAATTCTTGTAAATTACCTGCCGAAATATATAAATTTTGACTTTTTAACTTGACAATTTGACTGATTAAAGCTTCAATTCTTCGTAAATTATTTTCATCCCAAAATATAAAAAAAAGGGATTTCCTGAAATAACTGATAGAATAATAAAGGGTAGTATAGTTATTTGGAGCAACAATATTAATGTCAGCGTTGTAATCTAAAAGGAGTTTCAATATTTTTGCATCTTGCTCAGAACTTATTGGATTTTGTTCGCGCATGAATCGATTCTGAGAAAGATATAAAGTCAGAAAATGCGGAGTATATCCTTCTTTAGTTTTTGCATTTACATCTGCATCAAACTCCAACAACAATTGTACAATGCTTAAAAGTCTTAATCTAATAGCCAAATGAATTGGTTTTGATCCTTTAGAATCGTTTAAATTTACGTTAAAACCATTTTCTAACAGTAGTTTAACCATTGAATATTCACCGCTAAGAACAGCCAAATGTAGCGCTGGATCTTCCGGAGTATCGGATAATTCATGAATGTTTTTATTAACAGCATTATGTTCAAAAAGAATTTTTGCAATTTCAAAATTTTTTCTTTCAATAGCTATTTGAAGCGGTGCTTTATTTATATTTGTATAAGCTTTAGCACCGTGCTCCAAAAGTAATTTAACTAATTTTTTATTGTTTTTCATAACAGCTGCTTGAAGAGGTGACACTTGGGCATAATCACAGTTGATTTTAACATTTTTCGATAGCAGATACTCTGCTAAATGACTGTGATTTTGTAAACAAGCTTCTCTGAGTAGTTGATAACCATAATCCCAAGCTGAAAGATATGATAACCCGCAATTGTTTATTATTTGTTTAATTTTTTCAAGATTTCCAGCCTTTATTATGTTCCGCATCTCATAATAGAGTTCCAAATCAGCCATGATTTGCTTATTGTTAATAAATCTGCAATTATTTAATGTTCAAACGCTCATATTTGATAGTCAAAATTAAAAGTTAGCCGACTAAAAGTTTTTAGATTTTTTTTTTTTTATTGAAATAATTATTATAAAAAAATAAAAAAAAAATGTCATTTGTAAAAAACTTGAAAAACTGAAAGTGCAATTTTTAAAAAATATTTTTTGTTCTAATTGAATTATTGAATAAAAATCAAAAAATTAATAATGTCGGCTAACTTTAGTATTATTAAATAAATTATTGTTCTCAAATAATATACTTACGAATATAGTTAATGCAGAAAATTAAAAGTGCAAAATATAATTCCTGTCCTGCAGTATATTTATATATTTGATGATTTGGTTACTCACCAAAAAATACTCATAAAAAATGTGTAATGTCACTCATAACCATAATATGGAGACTGTACACATATATAAACAGTGTATAATTTTCATAGTCCGTACACAGACTATATATTAAACTATAGGAGAAAGAGAGGTCTTTGCATGGTCACCATTATTTTTTTTTTTCTACAACAGTCCATGTACGGACCTTGTACAAAAGTATATAGCGCCTCTGGCGGGTGAAGCGGTCCTCCACTCCATGCTCTCGGAGTACAGTAAAAGAAAAGCTCTTAAAAGTTACCCAGGTTGTCTTTCTCGCTCTTGTTAGTTTTTTATGAGAAATTGAGACAGAACTACGGTAACTTTTAACAGCTTTCACTGTAGTATTGTGTAATAGAGTAGTTAACAGCTGATGATATATCATTTTGCAAGTTTTTGGCTATCCACTCTTATAATTTAGATGAAAAATATAAAAATATATACATTGATGAAGACATTTTATTCGTAATGTGATTGGTCAAATATATCATAAGCATGAAAATATAGATAATTCCATACCAACATTCACACGCGCGCAACGTATACTATAGTACTACTTTACTTTTGATGCTATATAAAAAAAAAAAAACGTAGGTAATTGTTTTAGTTTCACGGTCACTTTATTTGTTTTCATATGGCAGGAAAAATATTCCAGCTTACTAGTGTTCTTGTTTGATGGAGTCCATCAACCTAATACCCAGGGACAATCCCGTCTCGATTCTTAGCGAAGATGGAATGCTTCATCCCTAACTTGAATTAGTTTAAACTAGTTAAAAACTGACGGCATTGGCGTTAAACAAACTCAATTAATTATTTAAATCACGGTCGAGAAAAAAACAACTTGTATATTTTTCAAAAAATTTTTTTTATTATATGACATTATCAGACACTTAAAAATATTTTCATTTTTATTAAATTGAGATTAAATAATTATTATTCGGATGGAACAACTTTTTCTGATTATTAATTATAATAATGGAATAACTTTTTCCATTACTTTTGAAGCTTTTACTATACCGGTAACGACAATTTCAAGTCAACTGAAAATTGAGCCTTGAGTAAATAATAATAATAATAATAATAACAAAGATGATTTTTAATCTCTTTTTATAAAACCTGCAATAGTACAACAAATAATTAATATTAAGAGGATAAGTATATAAATGACTAAACTGAAGGAAGTAAAGAATGTCTCTGTTTATTACCACAACTCCAAAATCAGTATAAAATTATTGATTATTAATGAGAAATTACAATTTATCATAACAAACATTATCCACCTTCTACTATATTATTAATAATAAAAAATGTACACTCTGTATATTTTTGTATCTGCTTTAGGCCGTTAGAGGATTTTATCCTACGGCCTCTTAAATAAATTACATTACATTACATTACATTATCATCTTCCTCCATAGGCCCCATAGGCTCGACATCAGCTTGGACTGATGTTGATGGTTCGGCTTCATCAACATTAGCATTTAACTTTGAAGGAATGGGTGACTCCAATTGGTCGATCTCTGGTGGCACGGATAACGAATGGCGATGACACAATCCCCTTATCAACTTGATGACTTCAATGATGAGACAGTTCTTGCAATCTGATCGTCTTTCAAAACTTTCTACAACTTCAGACACTACTTTTGACGCTCCAGATGCATGCCATACCGGTCCAACTGTGGGATACAATTCAGGAATCTCGCAATGTATGAGGTTTCCTTGACCATTTTGGTCAAAGAAATTAAATATGATCTCATCTTTGGCTGTCGAGATTGTTTGAAATCTGTTATGTGTTTTTGGAAACACAGACTTAATGGTGTCGATTTCCAGTTTAACACTCTCTGAGTAATCCATGGCGGCTTAACCTGTGAAAAACAGTAGTACATGTTATAAAATTATTATTTTATTAAATTTTTGTCTAGAGTTATTAAACTACACAGTAAAAGTTTTTGTTAAATTTAATACAAAAATTTTTAATAACTTACTCAATAAATATCTCCTAGCAGTTATAATAATGTTATAAATTTAACTTTAGATGCTTGATTGATAGAATAGTTATGTTTAGACCCTTCGTCTATGCAGTCTAAGGTGTTACTACAAGTCCAGTACAGAAGAATCCCTCTATATTTATGTTACACGTGTCCGCGCATGCTCAAACAAAGGTTTGTGACGTCTGGTGGTCATAATAAGTACTAGTTTTATTTACCGTGCAAGCATAAAATTAACTGCCCAAATTTATTTAAAAGAAAAATAATTCTTCATACTATAACAATAACTAATAATAAAAATATTGATGGTATAAAAAGATTACAAACTCTTTATTCGGAAACTCTTAATGAGTGTGAGTCTCAATAATTTTTTAGTTTTACAATTACATATTGTTTGAATTTCTCCAGTAATTTGACATTATTAAAAATCAATTAACACACAATAAAATAATTTGAAAAGTTAAAATAACTGTCACGCTAAAATTAACAATTGTTATAAATTTACAACTTTTGTACTTGAAGTATTTAAAATGACAACTTCAATAAATGCACTTTATTTTTATTCATTCCGGTAAAAAAATTTTCAATATTTACATATGTTACGAAAAATATCTCATTTTTTTAAGAACTAGAAAATTGAATTCTAAATACTATACTTCTTAGTTCTAACATTCCAATTATCACTTTCCTACAAATAAGATAAAATTTCAAGTATTTGTAACATTGCAATATAATTACGAAGGCTAAATTTATACATTTTATATAGTAGAATATTCCCTAACAATTTTTCTTATTTTATATCATATAACTTGGACTAATTTTTTTTATAAATTATCATCATAATAAATATATGAATTCAAAACTTTGTAAACAAAAAAAAAAAAACAAAAAAAACAAATACAAGAACTCATAAATATATAAATAATAAATAACAATCACAAAATAAAAATAAATATATCAGATAAAGCTTTGAAAGATTATTCAAGTTTTATCGCTTTCTAGAAATAACGAAAGATGATCGAAAAATGACCGAAGGGCTGATATGACAGTTCCGCGACCTTGAACTTCGGTTTCTTCTGTACTTTCTCGCCACGCTAAAAATGCCTCATCTGCTATGATTGATTCAGTGCATAAGATACTGACGATACGAGCTAATACACCTGTTCAAAAACAAAAGACATTTTTTAAATTATTATATTGTTAAAAAAAAAAAAAAAGCCTTTATATTAATATTAACATGACTAATTTTTATTTATACCTTGCGGATGTTGTAATTCATGAATATATGCCTGTATCGCGTACAAACATTGAAGCTCCAATTGAAAATTTGCATCTACATAACGTTGGATATATCTTAACAATTTATTAAACATTTCTTCATTTAGTTTCCACGACTCTCCGTTTTGTTCTAAAAATTCAAGAATAAAATTTTTAAAAATAATTAAATAAAATTATTATTAATCTTTACAGAATAAAAATATGAAAATTAATTTAGCAGATATTTGATTATTTTAAGAATTTTTTTAATAAATAAATTATGGCAAAAAAATTGATACTAAAATTAGCCGTTCAACAATTTTTTCAACTATTAAATTACAAGTAAAAAAAATTAGAAAATAAATCATTAAGTAGAAATTTTAATAAATTAGAAATGTTATTTAAAAAATCAAGTAAAAAAATTATCAAACGACAGCTAAATTTAATGTCATAATAAAATCAAAATTAATTTCTTACCAATAGAAACTCTTAAAATAGACGTAACAAGATTTCTTACAAATTGAGGCTTCTCGGATCTCGCACCGACATTTGCCTGTAAAAAAGTATTTAATTTATAATTTTAATACCTTTGATAAATATTAGATACTCTATATTTATTAAAATAAATAAATTACACTTACAGATATCCAAGAGACAACATTATCAAAATCATCTATTGATAAAACCCCGACTAAATGATTCTGAATTTCCGTAAAACTCAATTCTGTCGATGAAATTCTTTCAGAATTATTACAAACATCCTTAAGACAATCCAACTTGTACATATTTATAAATTCATCAAGCTGTTCTCCGTTGAGATCAAGAAAATCAGTCCACAGTAATTCGCTTTTACTCCATTGATCCGCTAACCATTCGGATCCTTGACTATTTCTCAAAAGCGACAACAATTCCCCAAAAATCTTTCTTCTTTGTTCTTTATTCTTCAGAGAAGACAACGTTTGCTTTAATTCAGCAAACGGGTGAAGGCCAGATATTAACATTTCTAATAGAAGGTGTGAAAGATGGGTCAAACAGTGAGGAATATCCAATATCATATCATCAACTGTCTCAAGTATTTTTTGATACCTATGAAAAAAAAGAAATTTTAATTAAAACCAGTGTCTTCTTTTAATTATTATTCATAGATAATTATATGCATACAACTTACTCAGTTTGAAACAATAAGAAAGAAATAAATTTAATCTTTATCATATGAGACAGCATTAATGAATATCTTGTAAGAGCTTTTGAACAGGAGTCTTCAAAAACTTTTAATGTTGTTTCTTGAAGAAAGCTCGCAAATGCAGAAGTTTTCAACTCCTTCAACACTTTTTCAATTTCCTTAAAAAAAAAAAAATAAGTTTAGAAATTATGGAAAAGATAAATGACAAAAAAAAAAAAGTACAATTTAAATATAAATTTAATTTTAGCGAGGTATCATTTAATAAAAAATTATTTTTGTTATAATTTTCAAGCTATAATTCATAATTTAAAGGATAATAATGCTGCAGATTGGCATTTATTTATGTAAATAAATGAATAAAGAAATAAGTAAATAAATAAATAACTTACTTCAATGAATGCAGCATCGGTAGAATTATAGCAGCAGTCCAAAATATCATTAAAGACCTTAGAATAATCTTTCACCTCTTCTTCTCTTTCAGTTTGTTGAGGCTTATCACTGACATTACTGCTATTGCTGCTTGATTTAGACGAAGATACAAACGGCAGATTACTTTGCGACTTAAACTCCGGCTGGAATAAATTTTTAGTACTTTGTATGCTAGGCGAAATCGTATTTATTGACAACGATTCTCGTTTCAAAGAGCCGCTACTGGTGGATTGATGAGTACTATTATACGAAGAGCGTCCTCCTCTCCAAGAAGAATTGCTGCGATATTCTTTCGGACCAGCCGAGCGTGACCCCGTAATATTAACAGACAGTCTATCTCTGTCCACCGCCAAGTTAGGCGTGTCCAACAAACTGTATGGGTTGTAAGTCTCCGTGGGCGTGTGCATCGACGGAGTTTTGTTCCATATATAAGCGTTTCTATTCCCCAGAACATTAGTATCTTCCAGTTGAGGTTTTATTGATAAATTAATTCCACTTTTTGACTTAGACTCACTCTGCCTTTCACTCTCAGGCCTTAAACTAACTCGACTATTCCGTCTTCCACTGTTAAAATAACCTCTTTGCTTACTACTGTAGGTATCTTTTGGGGTAAAAAGGTCTTCATTGTACCTTGTGCTTTGAGGAGTGACACGATCATTTTGCTGACGGTTTTGATAAGGTGTACGATCGTTCCTACGATTCAATTCTTGAGGTGTATTAGGATAGAAATTTTTACGCTCTTCCTGTTCAACATCTCTCTGCAATTGATCCATAGTTGTTGGATTAGAATCATTGCGACGAGAGACCCAGTTGTTGAGTCTCAACTCAACAACATCTTGAATCATAAATTTAATTCTCGAGCTGATTTTATACTCCGTGTTCTGTTTCGCTAAATTTTTCAGCTGTTTTATATAAATTTCCAAACTATTTTTTTCCTCAAATAACTTTCCAATAGTCGTCAACAATTTACACAAACATTCCAATCTTTCTTCATCAGGAGTGCTCAAAAGTTGATTCATACACGCCTGCATTATTTTTCGAGTCAACATTTTGTTTTTAAATAATTCCCCAATAAATTTAATAATCCCAACTGATCTTTTTCTTATCTGATAATCGTACTCTTCAAGACTTACTTGTAATTTTTTCTTCTCTTCAGAATCTCTACAGCGTTTTATTTCTTCTAATTTTTGTTGTTTAATAGCTTCATCAGAAGCAGCTTTTTCAAATTCAGCTTGACACCGATTAATAAGAAATTGCCTTAAATTTTTTTTATCATCTGTATTTGAATTACGAATTTTTAAATGACTAAGTTCGTTACACATTGAAGCGTAGCCTACGGCAAAATTTGGTTCAGCGATAGCCTTATTAAATACCAAGTCGATAATTTTTTCTAATGCCTCCTCGTTTTCTATTTCTAAATCTTTTATTTGTCCCACAAGTTTAGTAAAATTCTCAGGTGTTAGCTTGTTCAATACGCTACGGACTTTTTTATAAACCGATTTTGCATTTCCTCGGTCTTCTTCTGATGAATTATTTTTCTTAACAGACGGCTTCCATGCATTTTTTATTTGACGTAACTTTACATCTTCAGGCTGTGACAATGTGAGTTGTATCAATAGTGGTTCAAAGGGCTTTGATTTTATTTCTTGAGTATTATTTCTTGAAGGTAAAATCGTTTTTGAAGAAAATGACCTAAAAGGAAAGGGATTAAAGTATTCAGGAACTTTAAATGATGGCTCTGGAAAAGCCCGTAAATTTAATGGAGTACTATAATTTGTTTCGTAGTTTAATTTATGATTGATAACTTCCATGTCCGGTAAATTTTCTGGCCGGATTTTACTGTAAGGAGAATTTCTAAGGCTTATAAGAAACTCACGACCGTATTGTATTATTTTAATTGAGCACAGATTTGATAAAAGTGTTTCTTCTGGTGGTTTCACTTCACTTTTTTCTATCTCAAGCTTAATCTCAGTATTCTTCTCAATATTATACTCTGGTATAATATGAATCGGAGCTTCAGGATTACATTCCAAGTGATCAATTAAATTTTTTTCATTTTTTTGAAATACAAGCTGTGAAATTTTTTCAGTCTCATCAACTGTAGACTCTTCAGTACAAATTTTGAAACCTGGATCGTCTAAAACAATTTTACCTGTGATAGTTAAATCTTTGCTATAATATTTTACATCTGATTCGCTTTTATCAGCTGTAATTTTAGGAGTGATTACAACTTCTGAAACTATTTCTGCTGATTCTTTAACGGTGTCAAGATTGTCAATTTGACTTGGACTTAGAAATGTAAATTTTTGCAAGAAGAAAGATCTTATGAGCTGTGGGTCACTCATTTGTGACTTTTCATCGACTTCAGCTCTAAATTTACTCATCCCGTTTTTTGTATATACATCATACACTTTATCAATTACTATTTCTCTATTTTGATCCACCAGTACTTGGAATATTTGATGATCCTGAGGAAAAATTGCATCCTTATCGTTTAAAGGATCTTCTAGAAATTCTTCTAAAATTTTCCTTTTTTCTTCTTTTTCCGGATCTTCCGAAGCTTGTTCTTGAAGTTCGCTCGAAGGTATCAGTTGAGTTGCTGCATTCGATGATGGTGGTGATGATGAGTATTCACGTTCCCTCTGTAAGTTTGTCTTCAACTCACGTAATTTTTTTTCGCCCGCTTCTATTTCTTTTTGATGTGGGTGTTTTTCCTTTTTGTCTAAGTCTTTGAATAATGATACTGGCTCTAGATTTAACGCTAACTGTTCTGCTTCCGACAGCGCAATTTGTTTTTTAATTTCAGCCGCAGATAACACTTGACTTTTTTTTGAAGTATTAGATGACGTTGATGGTTTTTGATCCAACTCCTGAACTATTGAGACCACAGATTGTTCTTGAGATTCTCTCGAAGGCCCAGCTCGATTTTTTTTTGAACCACTCGCTGATTTTTTATCTACTTTAGACTGCTTTGATGTCTTAGGTTGTTGGTCTTGAAGATCACTCAAAGGCACTACTCTAATTTTTTCAAGAGTATCTGATGGTATTGATGGTTTATTCACCTTCGAAGTTTTTAATTCTTCAGCTTGGTCTTTAATTTCGGTTGAAGATACTGGTCCAGTTTCTTTCGACGTACTTGCTGATGATTTTTCATCTGGCTCTACTTGTTTTAATTCCACAGTTTCTTTTTGAAGCCCAGTCACAGATACTGGTCGTGTTTCTTTCAAATTATTTGGTGATATTGATGATTTTTTATCTGAATCTACCTGTTTTAATTCCACAGTTTGTTTTTGAACTCCACTCGAAGAAACTGGTCGAGTTTCTTTCGACGTACTTGCTGATGATTTTTCATCTGGCTCTACTTGTTTTAATTCCACAGTTCCTTTTTGAAGCCCAGTCACAGATACTGGTCGAGTTTCTTTCAAATTATTTGGTGATATTGATGATTTTTTATCTGAATCTACCTGTTTTAATTCCACAGTTTGTTTTTGAACTCCACTCGAAGAAACTGGTCGAGTTTCTTTAGACATATTTGGTGATGATGGCGATTTTTTATCCAACATAAACTGTTTTGATTCCACAACTGGTTCTTGAAGTTTGTTCGAAGATACAGGCTGAGATTTTGTTGAAGTATTTGATAATGATGAAAGTGATTTCTCATTCAACTCTTGTATTGATTCCGTCGGCGTTTCTACATAATTTTCACGTCTCTCCGTAATATAATCATTTGATGTATAGCTATCATACGGTTCATACTCTGAATATCTATATCTGTTCTTCTTTTTACTCTTACCTAAAAAATAAATAATTACTTTAATAAATAAAAATAGATTTTAAGAATACAAAGATACAAAAATGTTTGTCAATATATTCATAAATATATAAATACAATAAAAAAAAAAAAAAAAAAAAAATATCTTACTTTTAGACTTTTTAAGCTTATCCTCCGCGTTCCTCGGAGTTTGTTGCTGTCTATTAAAGTTACTTTGACTGTCTACAGGCTTAAACGTCTTTGGAATTGTACCAGTATCCTTGTTCTCAACTTTTTTATACGTTGTTAAATCATTCTGCGCTGGGGTTGGTGTAGGTTTACTACCACTTGCCGCAAGAATCGATGAATAGCTCAATTTAGATTGACTTTCGGATTTTTGAGACTCTACCGATAAATCTTTAGACTTTACACTTATTTGTGTATCTTTTTTAATCTCTTTAGAAGTAGAACTACTTGAAGAATCTCTTTTAGTCTCTTTAGATTCATTTTTAGTAGTAGAACCACTTGAAGTAACTTTTACTGAGCCGGCAGTATCAAGAGCACTTGAAGATGATCTTTTTTCAGGTTGGTTCTGTTTAATTTCTTGCTGATTAATTGCAACTGATGTTGAAGATTTTGCAGTTTGAGGTGCATCTGGAACAATATTCACCGAACGTTCATTAGTTTTTTCAACTACCGGTTCTGGTAAAGATTTATCTTTTTCACTGGGTTGAGTGATGAGAGTCGAGTCCTTTTTAGGCGGCCCAGAGCTAGCTGCTACAGAAGTTTCTGACGAATCCGACCGAGGTTTTAAATTAGAGCTTTGTTGTTGTTGTTGTTGTTGTTGTTGTTGTTGTTGTTGTTGTGCTAATTTTTCTGGCGGATTTATAGCAGTGCTTTCTAAACTTGTTTGAACTTCTGAATCGTATGTAAAATTTGGTGATAAAGAGTGCCGTATCTTTTTAATTTCCTGATCCGAACCTTGCTCAGGCCGTCCTAAAATAGTTCTCGGAGCATCCTGATGTGTTGTTGATGATACAGGCTTGTTAGTTAATCCAACAGGGGCATTCAAATTACCAGATTGTTTGCGAATAGTCCCAGTGTTCCCAGAATGAATCGACTCTCTAAGCCCTGAATTATAAGACGGTAAGTTCTGCGCATGAGGACATCTTGGATAAGATTGATATTGTGGGTTAGAAGGTCTAGATGGTCTTGGTGGAGGTTGCGGATACTGTGGCATTCTCACCATATTTCGATGAAAAGATCTCAAAACAGCATACGGCGCACTAGCATTATGTGAATGAATGTTCTCCGGCCTAGTATTATCTTGAAACGTCACATGTGATTTACCCTGAACGTTTACAGGGTTTAATTCTGCTTCAGGTGCTCCAGAATGCTTTAATATTGTAGTTTGAGGTGTCGAGCTCATCAGCGCTGGTGGTTTATCACTACTATAACTTTGCCCTGAAAATGTTCTCTGGTTAGAATTATTTGTCGGCTTGGAATAACCCTCGTTTCGCCTGTTTTGGTTGTGATGGTACTGTCTGGTGGTTTGGTATTGATTTCTCTGATTTATTGGAGCTTGATAGTTGCTTTCAGGAATACTGGAACTGGGTTGTTGATTGGTTCTTTGAATTTCTTGTACAGGGATAGGAACAAGTTGATAGTTTGCTTGTTGAGGATAGTTAGGTGCAGGAAGATTCTGATTTATATTCACAGAACTTTGTGGAGAAGAAATAGGTTTTCTACTGTCCTGTGGAAGTTGATCTTGACCAGTTGATCTGTATTGAGGTGGAATCTGCTGAGCTGGAATATTCGGTGCAGCTCCTTGATAATAATTGTGTGGAATATTTTGCTGAGAATTAGCAGTATAAATTTGCTGATTAGTATGTGAAATAACTTGAGGTGATGTTGCCATAACAGTCTGTTGAGTGTGAGTTGCTGAAACATATTGTTGACTAGATATTAAAGCACTTTGATCACAACTATTAGCTGGAGCTGGTTTTTGGTGATACACATTTACAGTTTGGTTACTTTCTGGTACCATGTGTTGAGCGCTTCTATAACCAGGATGTTGATGATTAACGTGTGCTAGTAAACTGTACTGTTGATTACGTGCATGACTAGACTCTCGGCTGTATGCTGTTAAATCATGTTGATAATTGGGGGCAGTATGTTGTGGATATGCTTCAGGCAATCGCTGATGACCTGCAAAACTCCGCCCGTGAGTATTCGCTGCCATTCCGTATGCTTGATTATGTCTATTGTAAACTTGATCACTCATGGGGTAATTTTGATGTTGAGCACTGATAGGTTGTTCATAATTAACTTGTGGATAATGTTGCTGCAGGCTGGCAGCATAATTACCCTGTTGGTTAATCCATTGGGCATTTTGATTGTACGGAACATTAGAAGCGACTTGTTGGGGGTAATTTTGTGGGATTTGATTATGAATATTAACAGGGGGGGCTTGATATTGAGGATTAACAGCTATGGGCTGTGCATAATGTTGATTATGTTGATAACTTTCATAGTATTGGTTGTAGGATTGATTACAAGATTGATCGCAAGTAGAAACTGAATGCTGATTACTTTTTGGAACACTTTGTTGATGACTAGAATTAGGCTGGATTCTACTCTGAGTAACAGTCGTTTGAGCATTACTTGGTGCGCATGTATACTGAGACTGAGGTTGTGGGCTTAATTGATAATTTTCCGGTGGACTCTTCGGATTGACACGCGGTGACTTTGGCTGTGTATGCTTAACTGGTGGAGATGATTCCGGCGTGATTGGCTCGGATTCTGGCGTAGGAGTTTCTCTACTGACGTCTGATGCATATTCCGCACATGTCTGTAAATGCTGTAAAAAAAATTATTATTTCATTAAATAAACTCGGTTTATTTAATTTGATTGATTACTTCAAACTAGCAACCTTGCAGTCACCGTGTGACTGCCGTGACTTGTGAAATATAAATAAATAAAATTTTGCTTTATTAAATAATGACTTTTGTTAAATTGCACTGTACTTTTACTGTTTTTAAAGATATAAGCTCATCCCTATGTTACACTCATCAAGAGCTTTCATTTGAGTACCCACATGCATTTTTGATATATTTTTCATATATTCATGTATATATATATATAAATATATGAAAAATTGATGTGGGTACTCAAATGAAAGGTCTCGATGAGTGTAACATCGGGATGAGCTTGTATCTTTAAAAATGTCAATAGTTCACAAGATACAAGGTCATTTCTTAATTATGTATTTAGAGATTATTTTTGAATGTAGCCTAAATATTTATCATCATAAATTGACTATTGGTGAGAATGATATGAAATATTAAAAAGGCATAAATTCAAATCAAGACCCACAAAATTTTTCTTATTCTCTTAATATAGATTGAATTAAAAAATATACCTCAGGGTACGTAGATTCACAAGGACTTTCTTTCTCCACTTCTTGATAAATGGATTTTGCTACATTCTCTCCCGTTTCTGGATTGACTATGCTGGTTAGTGCATGTGGTCTACATCTTTTTTTACATGGTACTCTATTTTTTGGAATTACCGGAAGTGGTATCGGGTTCGGCGCCGCTTGTGGAAGTGTTTCTAAAGAAGTAATTTTTTTTAAATTCTATTCAATGACATAAGCTATAAATTCAAGATAAATTTATTGTTTATAAACAAAGTAAAAAGAATTATAATATTTCACTAGATTAATAATAAAAAAAAAGACAATCAATGAAATAAAATTTTCAGTTTGATTAAAAAATAATTTTTTCATACCTGGTTGATTATAATGGGGTGATTGGGGGACATTGGGCACCGCATTAACTGAATTATTCTGTGGATAATCTGGAAAAAAAAAAAAAAAAAAATTATCTAGATAGATCAAAACAGATGATTTTAAATACTAAAATTAATCTGATGATAAAAAGAGTGTTTGTTATATTATGACATCATCACAAACTATACTATCAATGACGGTATTTATTATTGTTATTATTATTAATATTATTATTATTATACCCGTAAGTATTTAGTTACTGTTTATTTTTATTTATTTTTCATCTTCATAAATATAAACAGATAATACTTACAAGCTAAATAATGACTCGGATGTTGATATCCATAATTTGGCTGCAACATTATTGTAGGATAAGCTGTGTACAGAGCAAGTGGTTGACCTTGAACCGGTGGCGGTATGTTTGGCTATGATTGACAAAATAACACACAATGGATCATGTATTAATTATATTAATTAGATATAATTAAAGTAAGTAATATAAAATAATAATGGGAATATGATGAAATAAAAATAACTAAAACATAACTTACAGCTTGCTGTGCTACTGGATACTGCATAACTTGGTTCGGCACCATCGTTGGGATTACTGGCATATTTGTATTTACAGGATTTTGTGCTTGATGCACTTGATGAGTGTTAATTTCATTTGAACAACAAACATCGCAATCACCTTGCGGTAAATTATCGTTTCCTTGCGCACTTTGTGGATGAGACATTTTGTGGCTTTTTATTATTAAAACAGACTACTTTTTTAATGTAAAAATAATTTTATTCTATCATTGTAACACTTGTATAAATGGCGATAAAATTAACAAAGACCATTAAAACAACATGCCTATTCTTTTTCATAGTCAGCGCCACAATGAAGTCACGCAGTGGAATCATAAGTGACGAGAAGGTGGGCGCAGTGTGAAGCCAACCTCACACTAGTATTGGTTGGCATGGAAACGGTCTGCGCATGCGCAATTTTTATAAAAAGAAAAAATGGCTAAGATTTAAGCACAGAAATTAAAAATAAAAACTTTGTTATTAAAATAATTAAAATTAATGTGTTTTTTTTTTTTTTTTTTTTTTTTTTTTTTTTATATTTTATTAAGAGAAAAATTATGAAGATGTCCAAGAAGAAATTTTACTACTTTTTATTTTTATTTATGAAATAGAACCTTTTCTAAGAGCAGGTAGTCAAGTCACCCGTAAAAGTCATTAAGCAACACTCAATATTATTTTACAATGCTTAAATAATAAGTGTAAATATTCTATTACAAAATACGGTCATTATCACACCTTTACAATAGTTTTTTCATTCTTATAAAGTTAAAAATTGGAAATTTAAAACGACGTAACTGGTTAGTAATTACTTATTTTAATGATACTTAAATTAACAGACACTTGTCAATTTTTTGGAGATTTTTAATAAATAAATTATTATTAAAAAATTTTAATAAAAAATTAAAAATGCAAATTTAAAAAAAAATATTTTTTGTATTAAAAATTCTAAAAATTGGCAGATGTCTGCTAACTTCAGTATCATAATCCAATAATTAAATATAATAAATAATTAACTATAATAATAAATAATTAGATGAAACTAATTGCTACAGACATAAAGTACAAATTAATAAATTAATTGAAGTGCTTTGAACCCTTTAAAATCATTATTTTCGGCAATGGGAATTTATTGAGCAATACCATAAAACCATCCTTTGTAATCTCGAATCTGCCTGATTGATGCATCTGCAAAATTAAAAAAATTTTAATAACGTTTCATTTCAATTCACTACATATGAATGGAATTATTATTATAATATACATACATTTTTATGTTTAAATATATATTTCAAGTAACAGCTTCCATCCCTTGAATACTCATAAAAAAGAACAGCATCATGATAACGATTTATTTGAGTGAATATTATTTTATCACCAACCAAACAGAATCCTCGAGGACAAAAGGTTTGTTTTTTAAAACCAATGCATCCCAAGAACTGCCCTTTTCTATTAATAGCTATTATGTAACATTTCTTCCAATCAGCGATAAATATTTCATCGTCTGCAATAAGAAAAACATTTTTATAAATTCAATATTGTATTATATTTATTATTGAATTATATTATTATTTTATTTATTATTGAATTACCTTTTGCAGCTATATAGAATGGAGCGGTCAGAAATCCGTGACAATCGATTTTGTTAATTATCTCCAGGGTGTCAGAAATGATAAATACCTGCCTGCTTACATCCACAGTAATAATAAGGTCATCCATTGTCGTTGTCAGAGCATTAATTGTATCAATTTCTTGAAATTTAGCAGCTTGTAAATAATTTCCACCCTCAGAAAATATTTGTAACCGAGAGCAATGATTTTCTTTATCATAAACGACTATGTTTCCATAATTTTGGGAATTACTATTAATGAATATGCTCACATACTTGGGATACACAAGATGCCTTTTTTTATCGCAATAGCGTCCAAATTCTAATTTGTGATTACCATATCGATCGTAAACCTGGAAAAAAATAAAATGATTAATACAGAATTTTCTAAATTAGATTTATATTTTTTAATAAAAAATTTATTTACTCCAATTCGGTGATTTCCAGTGTCTGCAACAATAATACTATCTTTAGCGTTCAAGATAAAATCTTGCGGAGTTATAAAATAGTTGAATGATTTTTCTAGCTTCAAACTTTTTGGTTTAAAATTGTGATCAATATTTTTTGCCAAAAAATACTTTAATGGAGAATTTCTGGAATCTATAAAGTAAAATTATTACAAATTAAGTATTATTCGAGCATAATAAAATTATAATGAGGGATAAACTTACCATGATCTTCAGCTAAATAATTTTTATCAGAGGCACTAGATTTTTCTTTTTCTTCCACCATCAAAATTTCCTTTTCTTCTTCAGATTGTTCTTCTTGATTTGGTATTAAAGTTTCTTGACTTGGTGGTGAAGGTAATTGCGAAGAATTACACTCATCAGTTTGTTCATTAACACCATTCAAATCATGTATTTGATGATCGATTGTTACTTCCTTAGGAGTAGACTTATCATTGTCTGATAATTTATCCAAAAACGGATTCAAAGAGTGATAAATTCTCAGAATCTTATTTGAAAAGAAAAAATTTATCATAAATTATTATTGCAAGTACGAATAATTTTTTTTTTTTAATTAAATTAATCATAAATTTTTGTATTATTAATAGGTACAAAGCCGTTTTGCATTTAAGTATATAAATAAATAAATCTAAGCTTACCATCTTTTCCTCAATAGTTTTGCTAAAGTCATCTATCATTTCTGAAAAACATTGCTCATTAAATTTAGTAAAATCCACATGAAACTCTTTTTTCAATTTTAACATCCGATCGACACAATTTTTAAGCTCTTTAATTAATTTTTCTTTAAGAGCAATATTATCTAACATGCTATTACTTCTTAAAAGCTGTGTGAAAAATTGGTGTAATTCATTGGTTATTTCCGAGGAACAATCATTCATCCTAAAATTTTTATAAATAATTATCAAAAATTTCCTTACAATTGCAGTAATATTATTTACTTACTTGGAATACGCCTCGATCACTTTAGACTTTCGTGAGTTTCGCAGTTCTTCTAGCTTGATCAAACTTTCACCTCGATATTTTTTCAAGAGAATTTCGAAAGTTTGATAAGTTTCATTGATTTTATGCTGAACTTGATGATATTGAAAATCGATTTCTTCAATTATCTTTTCCTTTTGGGGTTCAACGCTTTCCAAGTAATCAATTTTATCATTTATAGCACTTAGTTCTTTATCAAGACGGGATTCAGTTCTGCTAATACTTTCATAGTGGTGTTTTAAGGATTTGTGATCATACCGAAGACATTCAATGCAGATTGGTTCCTGGAAAAAAATAAATTGATAAATATTAATTTATAATAATAATATGAAACTGAAATTAAAAGACATCTGACAATTTTTAGAATTTTTTCAACAAATAAATTATAGCAAAAAAAAATTTATTTAAAAAATTCTATCTTTAAAAGCTTTAAAAAATTATAAATAAAATTTGTTAAAAATAATTTTCTATACTCAGTTTATTTAAAAAAAAAATATGATACTAAAGTTAGCCGACGTTTTTAATTTTTTGATTTTTTTTTAATAATTAAATTAGAACAAAAAAAATATTTTTAAAAAATTGCATTTAAAGTTTTTTTTAAATGAAAATTTTTTCTTATTTTTTTATAATCATTTTTTTAATAAAAAAAAAATCTTAAAAATTTTTAAATGTCGGCTAACTTAATTTTCATAAAAAAATCCAAAAGTTATCACATGTCTTTCGATTTCAATACAATAAAATAACCAAAAATGATTATTATCACTTTTATTATATAAAAATATATTGAATTAATGATTATCGTACTTTGCATGGATAACAATAAAATGTCACTTTATCCGAAGGATGATTTTTACAATTCATATCTGCCATTTCACCATTACACTGCGTTTCATTTTCATCACAATATTCCAATTTATCACTATCTCTTCTCATCGACATTTTCACTGTTTTTATATTCTAAAATAATATATTTTTCCCTGAAAATTTGTTAAAATTCAGTTATTAAAAATTAAAATAATAATAAATTATTCACAACACTTGACACAAAAAAATAAAAAAATTCGTTGCTCTAGTACATCTCACGGCTACATCGTTACATGTGCCAGCATTGTTTACAGCGACACACGTCGTTTCGGCGGGACTTGACTTAGCGGCGATTCACCGTGGTGGGGATAAATCTTTCAGACAAAGGGATCGAGCACAAAGCTTCGGACGCTGATATGTTCTAAAACAAAAAAATATCCAGCGAATAAAAAAATAAAAGAAAGTAAAACTAAGGTCTATTTAATTAAAAAAGGTTATATTTTTTTATAAGACCTGATAATTTAAATCAAATTGACAATTTAATTGTGTGAATAAACAGCACTTGATTAGAAAATCTGAAGTTACACGCTACAAGGTATGTAAATTTATTTTAATAATTAACCTATAATAATGAAAGTATCAGCTGGTATTTTTTTTTTAATTTATAAAATTAATTTTAAGACAGCTGGAAAATTTTTATAATTTTTTTATTAAAAAAAAAATTGACTTGTAGAAAATTAAAAAAATTTTAAATCTAATATTTTTTTATTTATAGTTTTTATTAATTAAAAAAATAAAAAATTGTCAAATGTCTAATTTTAATATCACATTAATTATATTAAAATTTAAATTATAATTATTATTAATATTTATATTGAAATTAAATTTCTTCTCTTTAAAAAAAAAATACTAATAAAAATTTTTTTTCCAGAAAAACAATTTAAAAAGACAATTGATCTAATCAACAATGTTTGAAGTACTCAGCAAAATAAAAGGTTTATTGAAGATAGACAAGGTGTGTATTGACAACAATGTATTCCGTTTACATTACAAAGCGACGATGATCCTCTTGGTGGTATTTTCTGTGCTGATAACATGCAAGCAATTTGTTGGAGATCCAATTGATTGTATAGGTGGTAGCAAAGAAGTACCACAAGCTGTAATGGACACCTACTGCTGGGTGCTTACAACCTTCACGATGCCCAATGTAACCGGTACCATTGGCCGACATGTTGTTTATCCAGGAGTGGGATTCGGTAAGGTCAACGAACCGGTTAAATATCACAAGTACTACCAATGGGTTTGCTTCATGTTATTTTTCCAAGCGGTTCTCTTTTACATCCCGCGCTACCTCTGGAAAATTTGGGAAGGTGGTAGGATGAGAATGATCATGCAAGACCTCAACTGTCCTATCTCCACTGATACTGAAAAAACTGATAAGAACTACAGCGAGTTAGTTAATTATTTAATGAGGAATTTAGGATCACAAAATGTTTATGCGTACCGCTTCTTTTTCTGCGAGATACTGAATTTCATCAACGTCTTAGGACAGATTTATTTGATTGATTTCTTCCTTGATGGTGAATTTAAAACTTACGGCATAGACGTTGTTAGATTTACTGAAATGGAATCCTCGAATAGAATAGATCCAATGGCTCGCATTTTTCCAAAAATCACCAAGTGTACTTTTCACATGTTTGGAAGCTCAGGAAACATCGAGAGAATCGATGCACTGTGTGTGCTCCCACTGAATGTTATCAATGAAAAGATTTACATCTTTATTTGGTTCTGGTTCATAATTCTTGGAATTCTCAGCGGGTTAAGCTTAATTTATCGGATTGCTGTCTTATTGGGACCTAGACAATTTAGGGGCATGCTTTTAAGCGCACGCTCTCGCTTGTCATTGTCACATCATGTGTACATTATTACACAAAAGTTTGAAATAGGAGATTGGTTCATTTTTTACCAATTGAGCAAAAATATTGATGCGTATAAATACAGACAACTTATTGCTGATGTTGCCAAGAAGCTACATGACCGAGATGACCGCAAATCTAATCACTTAACAGCTTAAAAGAAGTAATAAATATATACATTTTTTTATTTATTGTTTTATGATTTATTACACAATATTAATTTAACATTAATTTTTTTCAGATATAATTTTAATTAAGATTCAACCCAAGATTATGTAGAAAAATAAGAAAAATTTTTGGAGATTAAACATTAGTCTAATAGGTTTTGATGCGTACTTAATAATTAATTATTATTTTTTTTTTTTTCATTTCGTATTTTCTCTTTGTATTTTTAAGATAATAAGTATAAATTCTTACTTAAATAATTATAATTTTGATATTAATTCAGTAAAATATAACGCATTTATTATAAGTAAAATGTATTAAATGTAACTGTCTTCTTTCTAGTATTACTTACTTAAATTTGTAATAATTTTCACATTTATACTAATCATAAATAATTAGTAAGTTTGTAATGGATATTAAAATAAAGTTTGACATAAAATAAATAAATTGTATCGTTATTTAAGACACTTTTTTTTTATTATAAAATTTAATAATTTTAAATCAATTTTTCACTTTTTTTTTAATTGATAAATCTTTAAAAATACTTACCTTTTGATTTAAAAATTTTTGTAGTGATTAAGAGCATAAGATTATATTATATTATTAATGATTAAAAATACTCATAATTTATTTTAATTTTATCATAATTTTCAGATATTTTCTTCATTATAAAATTCAGTAAATTAATCATTTTTCACTTTTTTTTTAGCTGATGAAACTTTAAAAATACGTACCTTTTGATTTTTAAGGCTTAAAAGCTTTAAAATAAAAGCTTTTTTTTAAATTTAGTTTAGTCTAATAATATAATAATAAAAAAATATCAAATAAAAATATCATAATTTTCAAATTATTTTATTCTCCTTATTATTCTTCTTATAATGATGAACTATTATTATTATTATTCTATGAACTGTTATTGTTATATGAACTATTATTATTATTATTGATCAAAATCGACCCATTCGGGTTTTGGTTCCACTGTATATAAAGCGCTTTGTGGGTGGATGTATACCATTTCTCGACCAGGCATAGTTATGTAAACGTTGTCAAAACCAGGTTCTTTTTTCGCGGCTTGCCAGGATAAACCGCTACAAATAGCTTTACTAACTATCGTTAAATTTGGTCCAGCATAAATCGCATTAACATGCTCATTTCATAAGACCCAGATATTTATTTCTAATTTTTCGGGCTCGATTTAACGCCTGCCATTCAAAAAAATTATCTTTGCACCACGCCCTGTCAAATTCCGAGCTTTTTCAAGCATTATATATTTCTAAAAGGGTAAAATAATCCCCTTATCTTCAATTAAATAACGCTTTTTTCGCATATCAGCTAAATTCTTCTTCATCCGTTAAAAACAACAGAATATCTCCCAGTGATTCTTGTAGATGGATTTGTACAACAATTGTCACCGCAGTTTTCACTCAATCTGTCACAGGCTCATTTGAATAAAATATTTCTACGGGGAAGGCGCGACCTTCTATATTTAAAATTGGAGCACCGTCAAAGTACCGACAAAAATTTTCAGAAATAACAGTATAGAAGCAGAGGTTGTTATAATAAGTTTTAATTCTGGACGTCGTTGGAGAATTTGTTTTAAGAGCGCGGACAGAACGTCAATATAAACGGTCATTTCATGTCCTACGTCCAACATAATTACAGATTAATTTTTCAGATCGCTGTCTTTTACAAATTCACGAAGAAGCTTACTCTCTGTTATGTATATAGTTTTTGTTTTACGCGAGGGTGCGCACAATTCCGATTGAGTGGAATAACCAACTTCTTGACCCACCCGACATCCAAACTCTTCAGGCAGCGACTCTTTTTGCGATAGATATGGCTGCAATTCTCCTGGGCTAGGTACAACCGATCATTCCTTTTGCTGCAAATCCTTCTTCAAATAAATAGTGGGGAATTTTGGTAATCATTCCAGAACCAGTTTCATATCAAATACTATCATAATTTGGTTCTCTTGGACTAATTTTTTAAAATCTTTCGCAATTAAAACTTGTCAATTGGTAATTTTTTTCTTGAGGATTCATTAGGGCTTCGAGATCGATCACGGGAAATCCCTCTTCTTTTGGGCGAGTCTTTGAACGCTGACGTAGATGGTGACGCTAAAACAGAAGAATTTGAAGTAAACCACCGTTTGGCAACAGACATGGCAGCAACTCTTCTGGGCTGGGTGCAACCTATCATTCCTCTTGCCGTGAATCCTTCTTCTGCTAAATATTGCGTGACTTGCGTTGTCTTTCCTGAACCAGTCTCTCCAAGAACCACCAAAATTTGGTTCTCATTAATTGCTTTTATAAATTGGTCCCTCAATTTAAAAATTGGTAAACATTTCCGTTGATCAAGAATGCTCATACTTGTTTTCTGACCAAAGGAAATTTTTTTACCACCAATCACATGCTTCTTCCATTCTGGTAAATCTTGAGACTGTAATCCGATCCCCCGCATGTTTGAAGATGAAGTTTTGTTCTCCATAACAGCCAGATGATCACCCCAATTTTTATTGAAGCTGGGAGCTGCATCCGCCTCCAATTTACGCTGCAGCATCTTCTCCTCTCGACGTTCTTTGGCCAGAGCACCCTGCATCAAGGCAGCCAACGCTAGTGACCCGTCAGGATTTTTAACAATTCGCACCGGACTCAAGGCACGAATGGTTGTATCGTGATCCTGAAGAAACGGAGGATTCTCCTCTATAATCTCGATTTCAATATCCTCGTCTTTGTCATCCTCACAGTGAAGCAATCCGGTATTCTCGTCGAAGTTAGACAGCTCACTACGATCGATACAACCAGCAGCAAGCATCTGATTATACTCCCATCTCTCTGGAGAAGCAATACGCTTGACTCGTTTGCAAGAATTCATTCCATCGTTATCAATGTTTCCTTGTGGCTCCAAGAGTGATGTTGGTCTATCAGGATTCCTCAGATTTTTTTCATATTCTTCAGATCTGGTCGGATTCAAATCTTGTCCCGTTTCTTGATCAACGTCCTTCATAGTCAGTGACATTTTTTGGCCACTTATGGTCAATACTTTAACTAAGACTTTTTGACCACGAGAAACTACATCAATTGACATTGCTAACACGTTCATCGCGTCGTAATTGCGAAATATGTACCAAGCCATCACATTTTCGTCTTAATCCTTCCAATTGTACGAAGCATCCAAACTGTACAATATTTGCTACTTTTCCAGAGTAAATTTTTCCAACTTCAGGATTTGATGGAATTTCTTTGGGTGATCTAGATCTTTAAGAGTGATTTTTAATATTTCTTCGGTCACGATCAAACCTGTCTCTTGATCCGCGTCGTTGTTTGCCATCCCTTGATGAGGAAGATCTGTTGCGGCATCGCGATCTTCGTCGCTTTTGATCGCGATTTCTTGACCTTGACCTATCACGATTTCTAGATTTTAGTTTACTATTTCTCGTAGCAGATCGATTGCGAGAACAAGATCTCTGTCTTTTTCTCTGGGGACTTCTCGACCTGTTTCTTCGCTCTCTTGATTTAGATCTAGATTGTGAACGTTTACCTTTATCTTTCTTTTCTGCCTTTTTAGAAATTTTTTTATTTATTTCATTAGACTTTTGCAGAGAAGAAGGAGCCAAGGCTTCGAGTATTGACATGGCTTCGTTCACCTCCTCGTCGTCTGAAAGAGCTGATGGCGCGCTGTTTGCCAACGCCAATCCTGGATATTTTCTAGCCGCTCCACTCTGGTTTGTATTTTTCACCGAATCCTTGTTGTTTGATGGTTTAGAAGGTTTCATGTGCTGAATTATTCGAAATAAATTCTCCATAAATGAATCAGATAGTTCACCGCCATTTTCTCGTAACGCCTGCTTGAATCCATCGGGTGTTGGGTTCTCTGTTGCCAAATGAATTATGAACATATACTTAAATCCTTGTCGTTGAGCCCCAAGTGATTTTCCAATTCCGTACATATTTTCGACACCAACGATAAATACTCAAGTTTTTTAATATCGTCATTTAAAACCATTTTGGCGATTATTAATTTCTAAAAAAAAATTAATAATATTTCAATAATTTATAACAATTAACACTGGAAACTACTCTACAACACTGAATACGAACTGATTTATTCAAACGTCTGCAAACGACTGACGAACGTTTCACAGAGATGTTTAAAGTCGTCCCAGTAATAAGAGTTTGGATCCCCTTCCATCACAATTTTCATCTTAGCGCATGCGCCTGAAAATAGGTACCCCCGTAACTTGTATGTATCCTTACGCAGGGAACAACTTTAGAAGAAAGTTATATTCATCTCTTTAAGTATTTACTAACAAATAAATGGCGCTTATTGGATTTCTTATATTATTGTAAATTAGTAGCAAAAAATTGCTAGACTAATTATAATTGTAGGTTTACTCACTATAAAATGATTCAAACAATTTACACTATATATTTAATAACAATACCTTTATTGTAACGAACATTAATGACTGTGTTAATTGTTAATCATTATATCTAAGAGATTTTTCATTTGAGTAAGGGAACGGGAATACAGACTGCTGTGTAATTAAATCACAGATTAAAGAATATTTAAATCGCAAAAGAATAATTTTATTTCTAATAATAAAAAACAATATTATTTTGTTTTATAAACTAATTAAAGCATGCAATATAATAAATTCATAGTCAATAACTATAGTTTATAATATAAATATAATAAGAACCAAAAACAATATCAGTCAATAAATAAATACTCCGATTAAAAAAAAAGGATTGAGACAAAGAAGAAAGTATTGGTTTTATAGTGAATCCAATACTCTTCAATATTTTTTTTGTCTTAATACTTTTGTTTAATAAGTTATTTATTATCAGATAATCGACTACGTGCATATCATATTGACCGTAGTTGACCACTACATGAACACATCAGATAGAACATTTACATGCATATATTAATATTCTATAAAAATATTATTTATAATCTTATCATCTGATAAAAAAAAAAAATAATTAGCATAAATAGAAATAATAATACAAAGAAATAATTAGCATAACCAGACCGTTCTGACAATAATTTATAATATTCTATTAAGAAGTCGACTTCAGCCTACCCTAGCGGAAGCGTTTTATTTTTTATTCATTTCTTCATTATTCTTTTTCAACGCCACTCAAAATATTATCAGGTGTCTGATAGATGAATTTTGAAGAATTGATAACAGGATTTTTCAGAGTAGTTGAAATAACTTCAATTAGAAGCTTGCCTAAAATTGGTGCAGGATAAGAATTCATTTCAGCAATTAGTTTCACTAAAGAAACAAGCCCCTGGCTGTTTTTGTTGTCTTTATTATCAGCTAAATCCTAATCTTATGCGCTGTATGTAATTGAAAAATTATATTTCTATTGTTAAATAAATTTCAAAACACTTTACTTGTAATTATTGTAATAAAATGTTACAGAAATTTTGCGAAGTCATTCTCTGACTCTTTGTTAATTGTCAAATTTTATGTGCCTTTTAATTGTTCTGTCCAGGTAGAATCATCCCTTTCAATCCGTCACGCTCTTTACTTAATTGAATACACTAATCTATGCCTTTTATTTTCTCAAATGTATTAACACAAAACCTAACTGCAATTGATGCAGTTATATAAAAATGTCAATAGTTCACAAGGTACAAGGTCATTTCTTAATTATTGACATTTTTTAAGATACATCTCTCTTAATAATAGAGATAATAAATTTTTATTTTTTTGATAATAATTTTTTTTATTCTAGTTATGGGTCCACCGAGTCACACTCGAACAGGTAAACAAGCGTCTATACAATCACGTATGATTGATCCCAAATGGCTGATGGGAGAATTCATCGCCCCAGCGTTCTTCAAATTTAATCTCTGTTCATATTCTTATATAAAATGTTCACAAAAAAAATAAATTAATTGTATTAATTAAATATTGTAGAATTATTTATAAAAAAAATATTTCTTTTAATTAATTAATTATCCAATAAAATATTTGAATGATTAAAATAAATAAAAACTTAAAAATTAAATTTCACTTTTTTTTTTTCTATATATTGTTGTATTTTACAGATTAACAACGATGGGCCATTACAATGATATTTATTAACATCGCTATTTCTAATTTTTTGATGTTGATCAAGAGTATATAACTGTCTTAATAAATTTCTAGTTAATGTGAATCATTAATTAAAATTAATTAATTTATTAATAAATCAATCGTATGGTAAATTTTATAATTTGAGACCTGGGGACAAAAATTTCATCATCAATATTGATTCTAATTATGAAACTCAAGTTAGAGTAAACACTTGACAATTTTTTTTTTTTTTTAATAAACTAGCTTTAAGAAATTATTTTTCAAAAATTGCATTTACAATTTTTACGACATTAAAATTAGCAGTCACTTAAAAATTTTATTTAAAATAACTTATTATGATGCAGGTAAAATTTAGTATATATCCCCAATACAAATACTTTAGAAAATTTTCCGGTTTGAATAGTGAGTATAGTAAATTTTAGAAATAAACATTGCTGTGCTACGAAAATATATATACAACTGAGTTTTATTTGAGCCGAAAGGTCGTGGGTACCTCATACGACGTCTCCACCACAAAAATCCCCACTCTTACGAGTGACTGACTCACGCACTATTTATATTGCACAACTCATAATGCGAAGCATCAGAGAGTGCTTTTTAATATACGTCCTGAACAATTAATTTTTTTTCTCTTATTTGTATTTTTCAGGTAATAAGTATTATTTCTTAATTAATCATTTATAGTTGTGATATTAATTCAGTAAAAAATAACGCATAATTATAAGATGTAATTTTCTTCTTTTTAGTATTGTTTAATAACTTTTGTTATAATTTTCACATTTATACTAATCATAAATATTGAAATAAAATAAACTATATCGTTATTTTAGACATCATCATCATCATCATCATAAAATTCAATAATTGTAAATCAATTTTTCACTTTTTTTTTTTTTTAATTAGTAAATCTTTTAAAATACGTACCTTTTAATTTTAAATTTTGGTAGTGATTAAGAGCAAAAGATTATTAGATGATTAATCATTAAAAATACTCATATAATTTATTTTATTAATGATAATAATATTTTATAAATATTTACAAAAAAATAACAATGTAATTATTGCAATTATGTGCATTAGTACAGAATAATGATCAAATCATAAATTCAACAGACTATAAAATTATAGACGTAAAAATAAAATGAAATTTAATTTCGTCGACGGCGTACTCTAGAAATTCGCCACGCATTGGGTTCTTCATACTTATTGTACAATGGTTCGAGTCGTTGATTTTTCTTGAACTTGCTCAACTTGGTCGGGTCACTAAATTTGAAGAAAGCTGGCGCAAATTCTACAAGCCATTTGGGATCAATGGTAGTTACCTCCCGCATATATTCCTTAGTAGTTTGTACAAGCTCGTGGTAAATGACCCACTCAGGTTGTCTATTAAACAAAGCACTGCTTGGATGAATGTATACAACTTGGCTATCAACTAACGTTCTATATCCTTCTTGAGGGTCTTTCTTCGCTGCATTCCTGAAGAAACCCGAGCAAACCGCTTTTTGAACTCGTACTGTATTTTTTCCAGCAGAAACGACATCCAATTTGTGCCTGTCCATAATACCAAGCAATTGTTTCCTTACATCTTGAGCTCGCTTCAATGTCCGAATTTGAACAAAGTTTTCGTAACACCACGCGTTGCTGAATTTATTATTTTTCCAAGAATTGTAAACTGCTAAAAGAGTAAGATGATCCCCTTCAGCTTGATTGAATTTGGCTTTTTTCTGATCAGCCAACGCTTGTTTATCTTTTGGCCGATAAAATACATTTTGTACAGACAGCATACTAACAATTGTCAATATTTCATCAGAGCACTGAAGGTGGACACTCATAATCAACATTTTCGAGAGATTTGGCTCCAGTGGAAATTCTGCCATTCTTCTTCCTAGTCTCGTAAGCAAGCCTTCATTATCTAAAGCACTGAGACTGTGTAATAACTCAAGAGCCATAACTAATGATTCTGCAGGAGGAGGATCCATAAATCCAAAGTTCAATAAATCATTGATACCCATTGTTTTCAGTTGTAACACAGTGGTGGCTAAATTAGTTCTTTGAATTTCAGGAACTGGAGTAGGCAACATCTCATCTCTGTAAGCCCGTTCTGTGTACAGCCTGTAACATTTACCCGGGCCAGTTCTTCCTGCGCGACCCGCGCGCTGTTTTGCAGCAGCTTGACTAATTGGCGTAACGATCAGACTGTCCATGCCGGTTTTAGAATTATAGACTTTCTGCTTGACAAATCCCGGATCAACGACGTAATAAATCCCATCAATAGTCAGACTTGTTTCAGCGATGTTTGTCGCAATGACAACTTTACGTGATCCAGGTGGCGCAGGCTCAAAAATTCTAGTTTGCATTTCAGAGGGCAGAGCTGAGTATATAGGAAGAATAATAAGCTCGGGAACGTCAGGGCCCAGTGATTTCATCCGCTCGTAAAGAATTTCACAAGCTGTGTCGATTTCTTCTTGACCCGTTAAAAATAACAGAATATCTCCCGGTGGTTCTCGTAGATGGATTTGCATGACAGTTATCAAAGCAGCGTCCAAGTAATCCGTCTCAGGTTCTTTTGTGTACATTATTTCTACCTCAAATGTACGACCAGGTATTGTAAAGATTGGAGCTTCTTTGAAGTACTGAGAGAACTTGACTGCATCAAGAGTAGCACTTGTGACGATTAGCTTCAAGTCTGGTCGCCGTTCAACAGCTTGTTTCAACAACCCAAATAAAACATCAGTGTGGATAGTACGTTCATGCGCCTCGTCCAACATAATTACTGAGTACATTTTCAAGTCAAGGTCCATCAAACACTCACGAAGAAGCATACCGTCAGTCATGTATTTAATGCTCGTTTCAGGTCCGGTACAGTCTTCAAATCGTATTGTGTAACCAACTTCTTGGCCAAGCCGACATCCAAACTCTTCAGCGACTCTTTTAGCAACAGACATGGCTGAAACTCTTCTGGGTTGTGTGCAACCTATTTTTCCTCTTGCTGTAAATCCTGCTTCCGCCAAATATTGTGTGATTTGCGTAGTCTTCCCTGAGCCAGTTTCACCAATAACAATTAAAATTTGGTTGTCTGTTACAGCTTTTAATAATTCGTCTCTCAACTTAAAAATCGGCAAGTGCTGTCGTTGTTCTAAAAGAGTTAAATTAGTCTTTTTACCGAAGGAAGATTTTTTACCTCCAATCACATGTTTCTTCCATTCCGGTAAATCTTGTGATTGTAATCCAATACCCCGCATATTTGAAGCTAAATTTCGATTCTCCGTGTCGGGAAGAGGATCAATCCAAGTTTTATTAAACCCAGTCGGCGCCTGGTCCATTTCCTGCTCACGTTGCAACATCTTCTGCTCTCTACGTTCTTTGGCCAGAGCACTCTGCGTCATTGCAGCCAGAGCTAAAGATCCATCTGGATTTTTAACAATTCTTATAGGACTCAAATCTCGAAGAGCTCTATCGTGATCATGAAGAAACGGCGGATCCTCTTCTACTAACTCAATTTCAACGTCTTCTTCCTCATCATCTTCACGAGGAAGCACTCCAGTCTCCATATCAAATTCAGGCAGCTCACTACGATCAATACAACTAGCAGCAAGCATTTGTTTTATTTCCCATCTTTCTGGAGAAGAAATACGTTGAACTCGTTTCCGAGAGTGCGTTTCATCATCATCAATATTTCCTTGCAGCTCTAAGAGTGAGGTTGGACGATCAGGATTTCTCAAGTGTTTCTCATCTTCTTCTGACTTGGTCAACGGTAAAATAGGATTTAAATCTCGTCCAGTTTCCTGATCAACGTCTTTCATAGTCAGAGAAACTTTTTGGCCATTAATATTCAACACTTTGACTAAAACTTTTTGGCCACGAGAAATTACATCACTGGCATTGACGACACGTCCTTCACGTCGTAATTGTGAAATATGTACCAAGCCTTCCCACCTTCGTCGCAATCCTTCTAATTGTACGAAGCATCCAAACTGTACAATATTTGCTACTTTTCCAGAGTAAATTTTTCCAACTTCAGGATCTAAAGGAATTTCTTCAGCTGATCTAGATCTCGAGCGGCTTTTAATTTTTTTTCGGTCACGATCAGACCTATCTCTTGATCTGCGTCGCTGTTTTCGATCCCTTGACGATGATCTATTCCGGCTTCTCGATCTTCGTCGCTTTTGATCGCGATTTCTTGACCTGGATCTATCACGATTCCTAGACTTTAATTTACTATTTCTCGTAGCAGATCTATTGCGAGAACGAGATCTCTGTCTTCTTCTCTGGGGACTTTTTGACCTGTGTCTTCGCTCTCTTGATTTAGATCTAGATCGTGACCGTTTATTATGTTTATCTTTCTTTTCTGCCTTTTTAGAGCTTTTTTCATTTTCATTATTTTCATTAGATTTTTGCAGAGAAGAAGGAGCCAAGGCTTCGAGTGCTGACATGGCTTCGTTCACCTCCTCGTCGTCTGAAAGAGCTACTGGCGCGCTGTTTGCCAACGCCAATACTGGATATTTTCTAGCCGCTTCATTCTGTTTTGAATTTTTTATCGAATTGTTGTCTGTTGTTTTAGAAGGCTTCATGTGCTGAATTATTCGGAGTAAGTTGTCCATAAAAGAATCCTAAACATTAAACGTTTTAATTAATTAAATTACAGGATTAATTTAATGTGAAGTAAATAAAATTAGTATTATATTTACTGAAAGTTCGCCTCCACTATCTCGTAACGCTTGTTTGAAGCCATCAGATGTCGGGTTCTCTGTTGCTAAATGAATTATGAACTCAGCTGTAAGAAAAAAATTTATTAATTTATGATACTGTATAACACTAAAGTTAGCCGACGTTTTTAATTTTTTGATTTTTTTTTTCAATAATTAAATCAGAACAAAAGATTTTTTTTTAAATTGCACTTATAGTTTTTCAAGTTTTTTACAAATGAAATTTTTTTTTTAGTTTTTTGTAATAATTTTTTCAATAAAAAAAAATTCTAAAAATTTTTAGATGTCAACTAATAACTTCATTTTCATTACTGAAGTCAGCTGACAGCTGTCACTTTTTTAAATTCTTACAACAAATCAATTATAATAATAAAAATGCTGCTAAAAATTTTCACTAATAATTTTTTTTTAATTTTTACTATAATTATTTTACTAATTTATTGCTAAAAAATTCTAGTAAACATTTTGTTAAAAATCAAAATGTCAGTCAGATGTCAATATTTTCTGAATTATTAAATTGTCACAAGAAAAATTTATAAAAATATTAATACTTATGGATATATTTATAATATATATTCATCTAGTACTGAAAATAATTTTAATTTTTAAAATAAAATAAAGTATCAAGTTGAAAGTAGATGAACATACCTAAATCCTTGTCATTGAGACCCAAATGGTTTTCCAATTCAGTGCAAATTTTAGAAACTAATGAGAGATACTCAAGCTTCTCAATTTCGTCTATTGGCTCCATTTTTTTTACTCACTGTTATTTATTAAAATTAACAAAACTCAATTATCTAAACTCCGTGTCATGTAATCGTGTATGTTATTGTTGACTGTTCACTGTTTTTCTTTTTTTTTTTTGCACAAAGGTATTGTAAAAGTGTCATTGCCTAGCGGACATTTTATTAACTACTGTTGTGAAGATAACCTACCGACTGTGAATCAAATCAATGATGGCGGGAGTTATTTTAATAAAAAACACTTATTGAAATAGTTAGAAAGAAAATTAACTAGATTGATAAGAGGGTCTACTGGACTAATGTGGAATATTCAGGAGAATAAATATTTCAAAAATAAGTTCAATGGAATACTTGTAAGTAAAGTTAATATTTTTATTAGAGTACATTTATTTAATTAAACGATATTATTAGGGTTTTTTTAAGGACTTCATAATTATAATAATATTAAATAAACAGTGAAGCATTTTACGGATGAAGAATCATAGAAAGAAATTTTTAAGCTTCTCTATTAGCTCTGACTTTGTTTCGGAAAGATAATTGTTGCATCCTAGACATGAACATTTATTTGGAACTCGTACTTGTTGTGGGATAATTTAGTCTTATCATCACAAGTTAGATCAACAGTGATTGTCCTCATTTTACCAATTGGTTGACAACAATTACATTCCTTCAATTATTGTTTTTGAGTAACTGTAATACATTTTATAAATAAATTATAAAATTTCATAAAAAATGTTTCTAAAAATTTGTTACAAGTGCAATTTTTTTATAAAATTATTTTCATAATAATTTAATTAATTGCTATGAAATTATAAAAAAAGTTTCTAATTAGAAATTAAATGACATTATTGTCAGTGTCTTAAATTTCATATGATTATTTGTTCAAATAATTATCAAAAAAATATTTACCAGCATCAAATTGCATTTTCCCATTACAAGTGCCATAACATATTGAGAAAAATCCTCAATTAATTCTTCATTCTTGCATAATCCATGTTTCTTATTATTCACCGCTATAATTCCAACTGTTTATTGCTCTTTGTCGACGGTAATAACGTTACATAAACTCACTGTTGGTTCAAAGCTGTCGAAATTCTTCACAGTTTTATTATTGAACTCTTCTGAAAAACATAATTAATTTCACAAATTTGTATGCTGATAAAAAAATATAAACATAATTAAATTTTTTACCCGAATAAGTAGAGTCTTCTCTTCGTCGCATACTTTACAGCAACCATCGTCATTAATTCTTACCGATTTACAATGAGAAACATCCGGACATTGTTGAGAAGCGCTGTTTACTATCAACTAAACAAGTTTTTATTAATTAGTAATTTAAATTATCAATTAATCATATTAATTTCATATCAGATCATACTACCTGATGGCGGTATTTAATCTGACAAATATAAGTCGTGCAATTATCATCAGATATCCAGGTGGCATATTTATTTGATGTAAAATTCCATTTTCTATACAATATGTCTGCTCGCATTCACCACAACATTCTCCTTCCTTCGGGTCTCTGTACTCCCAACCCTGCAATAAAATTTACATATTTTTTTTAAGTAAATTAATAAAATTTAATGACAATAAAATTAGCAGATTCTTCATAATTTTTTTTATTTGTCTTGAAAAATAAATTAGGTCCGGAAAATTATTTTTAAAAAATTGCATTTATAATTTTTTAGAGTTTCTAAAGATGGAATTTTTTAAATAAAAATTTTTTAGTTAAAAAATTATCAGACATCAGACATCTATATAAATTTCAGTATAATTAAATTTATTATTCTTAAGATAAAAAAAAACTTACTAGTTTACAATCTTGATTGCAAGTTCGTACAGTTTGTACAAGTTCAATTTTTCCAGTTTTATTTAAGCATTCCTCAGTTATACAACTGTTTTTAGAATTAGTCCAACTCATATTCCAGGCATATAAGTTTTATTTTCAGACCTACACTCAATACGTGAGTACGCTGGGCAGCATTGTCCAGCGATTTTCTCTGTTTTAATTTCATACTTTTCTTCCTCAAGCAGGTCGACTTTTTCGCACTTTGTAATTGATTCTTTTATCCGAAGCTAAAGACAAAAGTATTAAATAATTACTAAATTACAATTAATTTTGTATTATAAAACCAAAAATTACACTTTGATTGTTATAAATGCATTCATAGTTGGTGCAAAAATCTTCTGATTGACATTTTTCTCCGACCTAAATACAATTTAAAATTATTTTCTTCAATATCTTATCAAAAAAAAAAAACTATTATAAAATTTCTTTAACAAATTACACACATTATAAAATTTATCTTGGTGCTTGCAAGCTACTCTTTCCATTCTTGGACAGCAATGACCTTCTACAGTTACTTCTTTGAGTTTGTAATTTTTACTATCTGAATGGTCGTCAATTTTAGAGCACTGAATTTTTGTACAAGTTGATTTGGGAATGATGTCAGTAGATTTTTCACAAACGCAATATTCACAGAGCCCTTTTATCCATTTTTCGCCAATTTTTGCTGCATGAGACTCAGTTTTGTTATTACGAGAGTGACGACGTATAGACATTTATCTTGCGGAGGCTCTGAAAATTATATTTATTATGAAAATTAAGTTAATTTATTGAAAAAATCTACTACTACTAATGAATAAGAATATTTGAAGCACCACGTCATAGTTACAGTGTCTCTTTAGGAGTTCTTCAGAAGAATATAGACATACTATTCAATCTACAATTACTTATTGAAAAGAAGTTCAATGCAATTAAAGTACTTATAATATTTCTGGAAATAATTAATTTAAAGTGTTTTGTATTTTTTTAAATTAAAAACATTCAATTATAATTTCTATTCATTGAAAAATTTTTTATGAAAATATACGTTTAGTTTCGTTATAAGTTAAAATAGATAAGCAAACTTTCCTCGACTTAATTGGCCAAAGGCTGTACAAGCTTATCTAAATATAAGCCGGAAAATTACGGAGTTCGAAAGGTATAAATAATCTAACATTCGTTAAACTCGTTTAGTTGACTTTAAAAATTACAAATTGTACACAAGTCTCACAATAATTAAACGTATAAGTCAACCAAAATGAAAAAAAGACTTTTGATCTTGTTACTCCTGATGAATTACTTCTTTAACTCTGAAGGAAGGTCTCCTGGAGTTGTAATTATTGGAGCAGGTGCATCAGGAGTCGCAGCAGCATCAAGATTACTTGAGAATGGATTCGACAATATTACTATCCTTGAAGCGGAAAATCGTATTGGAGGAAGACTTCATTCTGTTAAAATAGGTGAAATTTAATTGTTTCTTCTTTCTTCATCTTATAAATTAATACTTAATAATTATTTCTTCTTTCTTCATCTTATGTATGTTTTTATCACAGGTGGATATTTGGTCGACCTTGGAGGTGAATGGGTTGTAGGAGAAGAAGGTAACGCAGTATTTGACCTAGCTGATCCGTTGGGTCTTCTTGAGAAATGTTCTGGATATAATGCGTGGAATACAACGGCAAAACTCTTCGGATCTTCTGGAGAAGAAATCCCTCGAGATGTCGCTAGTGGATTGGTGCAATATTTCAATAAAGTCATGGAAGAAATAAATTCTAAGGATGAGAGTGATGATGTAAAAGCTGAAAACCTTGGTCAATATTTCGACCCTAGGTAAGTGTTAATTATAAATTATTAATTAAATTCTTGAGATAGAAATTTTATATGTTTATATTCTTCAGGCTGGATAAATACTTTAAAGATCATCCAGAAATAAGCCCTGACTTACATGAGCCTTTAAAGTATTTGCTGAATTTGTTGGACAATGTACACGATGCTGGCAAAAGTTGGTATGAGGTTTCTGTAAACAGTTTATTGAAGCTAATAGCGATTGATGGAGATCATGCTATTAATTGGAAAGAACGAGCTTACAGTATGCTTTTCGACTTACTTATGGTTTGTGCTTTTTTTTTTTTTATAATTAAAAATATTAATACTGAAACAAAGTTCTTGGTGTTTTAGAAAAAATATCCGAATCCGGAAGAAGAATTACCTGTGATGGAAAAAACAAAGCTTAATACGAAAGTTACTGAGATAAAATACGATGAAACTTCCGTAAAAGTGATGACTGCTGATGGAGAAGAATACGAGGCTGACCACGTCATAGTTACAGTGTCTCTGGGGGTTCTTCAAAAACATATGGACACGCTGTTCAATCCAAAATTACCTGAGAAGAAAGTTAATGTTCTAAAGGTAATTTTTTTTTTTTTTTTTTTTTTTTTTTTTTTTTTAATATAACAGATTAATAAAGAAAAAAAAAATTGTAATTTTATTTTAGAATCTTACCTATGGGCATAATGCTAAAATAATTATTTACTATGAAGATCCTTGGTGGCTTGAAGACCAAACTTACATTCGGGGGATATACTGGACGGAAGAAGACAGAAAAGAGTTAGAAAATGATGTAAAAATTTTATTATTTGAAAATTTTAAGAATTAATCAATGTAAATATTTAATAAATTGTTTGTTAGCCTCTAAGAAAGTGGATGCTTAGTGTATCGGTGGGAACGAGGATCGAGCATAAACTAAAGTTGCTTAAGACTTGGGTGACTGGAGAATACGTGACAGAAATGGAGCTGGTTCCTGAAGAACTGTTCCAAGAACAAATCAAGGAGCTTATCCAAAGGTTCTTTGGACAAGCTTACAATATCACTGAGCCGACGGAGATAATACGGTATGCTTGATATTACCTTCAATTAATTCAATAAACTAATTATAAGCTACTGAACTTAATATACTTTAGGAGTATGTGGAACACTAATGAGAACTTTCTTGGTACCTATCGGACTGCGGGGTTACCTGAGGATAAGTTGGATAATCCTACTGAAGATTACGCCGAGCCGATTTTAATAAATGATAAACCAGTATGTCCTTCAATTTTACTTCAATGGATAAATTTATTAAGGATTGAGAAATACTTAATTTTATTTTATAGGTAGTGCAATTTGCTGGTGAAGGTACTGCTGCTCACTGGAGTCTGGTAGACGGTGCCGTTGAATCGGGATGGCGAGAAGCAGATCGGATAATTAATTATTATGCCGATAATTAATATAACATTATATAATTTAGAAATTTTTGAGCATTGCTGTATAAAAAATTTCAATTTTAAAATATAAAATGTAGCGGTATAAATATTTTTACACCTAGATTTCTTCTTATTTGTTTTATTTTCAAAATTAAAGGATTCATTTTAAATTTATCAGATACTTCTAGGCGACTTTGTTTATAAAATTAAATTTAAAGGCCATTTTTATGTTATGTAATCGAGATAACTTTGTGATTTAACAAATCCATGAACTTTAACATCTGTAAAATAAATAAATTGCATGTATAATATAATGAAGAGATATTAAATAAATAAATTTTACTGTTAGTATATAGACTCTTGATTATTTCTTCTTGATCAACAATGAAAGTTTTAATTCTTCTACTAGGTTTTATAAGTGTTATTTCTTCTGAAGAAATAAAACCTAAAATTGTAATTATTGGTGCTGGTGCATCAGGAATCGCCGCAGCTTCAAGATTGCTTCAAAATGGATTTAATAATATCACAATTCTCGAAGCGGAAGATAGAATTGGCGGAAGAGTTTATTCTGTTAAAATAGGTTAAATAAAATTATTTATTTTTTCACAATCCTTTATATAAATTAATGCATCTTTTTATTACAGGTGAGTACTTGGCTGATATTGGGGGAGAATGGGTCACAGGAGAAAAAGGTAACGTTGTGTATGAGCTAGCTCAGCCGTTAGGACTTCTTGAGAAATCTTCTGAAAATAATGAGTGGAATATAACGATACGATTATTTGGATCTTCGGGGAATGAAGTGAGTCGAAAAATCGCTACTGAATTGATAGAATATTTTGAAAATGTCACTAACTCTATGGATTCAAGTGTTGATTTGAAAACTGGATCTCTTGGGGAATATGTCGAGATTAAGTAAGTATTAATTATTAATTAAAATTTTGATAGGATAAAAATTTTGATATATTCTTCAGGTTAGATGAATACTTTAAAAATCATCCGGAAATAAGCGCAGATTTACAGCAGTCTTTGAAGAATTTTTTGGATTTGACGGATATGATTAACGATGCTGGGAAAAATTGGCATGAAATTTCAGCAAAAGGTTCTTTACAGTACGAAATAACTGAAGGAGATCAGGCTATTAATTGGAAAGAAAGAACTTACGCAACTATTTTGGACATACTTATGGTTTGTATTCTTCTTTTGCAATTAAAAAAATTATTGATATTAAAACTAAGTTGTTGCTTTTTTAGAAAAAATATCCGAATCCGGAAGAAGAATTACCTGTGAAGAATATAACAAAGTTAAATACAAAAGTTACTGAGATAAAATATGAAGAAACTCCTGTAAAAGTAATCACTGCTAATAAAGAAGAATACTTGGCGGACCATGTGATCGTTACGCCATCTTTAGGAGTTCTTCAGAAGAATATCGACATCAGACTATTCAATCCACAATTACCTGAGAAGAAATCCAATGCAATTAAAGTACTTATAATATATTTCTTAATTTAATTTGAAGATATATAATTAATATAATGTTTTGTAGAATCTTTCCTTCGGAGGTGTTGCCAAAATAATTCTTTACTATGAAAATCCTTGGTGGCTTGATGACCCAACTTACATTCGAGCTATGTACTGGACGGAAGAAGAAAGAAAGAAGTTGGAAAATGATGTAAGAATTTTATTATTATTAAACTATTTTAAGAATTAATGTAAATATTATTTGTTAGCTTCTAAGAAAATGGATGCTTAGTGTATCAGTGGGGATGAGGATCGAGCACAAACCGAAGCTACTTCTTCTTTGGGTCTCTGGAAGCTACGTAAAGGAAATGGAGTCGACTCCTGAAGCATTGTTCCAAGAACAAGTCAAGGAACTTATAAAAAAGTTTTTTGGAAAAACTTACAATATTACTGAGCCGACGGAGATAAAACGGTATGATTGATATTACCGTCAATTAATTAAATAAATTAATTATGAGCTACTGAAGTTGATGTTTTAGGAGTATGTGGAACACTAATGAGAACTTTCTTGGAACTTATCGGTCTCCGGGATTGCCTGAAGATAAGTTTGAAACTCCTACTGAAGATTACGCCGAGCCGATTTTAATAAATGATAAACCTGTATGTCTTTCAATTTATATATAATGAATAAATTATTAAGGATTAAGAAATACTTAATTTTATTTTATAGGTATTGCAATTCGCTGGAGAAGGTACTAGTGTTCACTGGGGCATGGTAAACGGCGCCATTGAGTCGGGATGGCGAGAAGCAGATCGTCTAATCAATTATTACGCTAAAAATTAATGCAACATATAATTAAAAAATTTTTGTGCCTAGATTTCTTCTTATTTGTTTTATTTTCAAAATTAAAGGATTCATTTTTATTATTAATTTATTAAATTCTTCTGAGTAACTTTGCTTATAAAATTAACTTTAAAGGCCATTTTTATATTATATGTGTCATATCGAGATAACTTTGTGATTTAACAAATCCATGAACTTTAACATCTGTAAAATAAATAAATTGCATTTATAATAAATTGAAGAGATAATATAATTATTAATTATATTAGACAGCTATTATGACTATAAAATAAATCTTACTGTCAGTAGACTTGATTATTTCTTCTTGATCAACAATGAAAGTTTCAATCCTTCTACTAGGTTTTATAAGCGTTATTTCTTCTGAAGAAATCTCACCAAAAATTGTAATTATCGGTGCGGGTCCATCAGGAGTTGCAGCAGCTTCAAGATTGCTTCAAAATGGGTTTAATAATGTCACAATTCTAGAAGCGGATCGAATCGGAGGGAGAGTTTATTCTGTTAAAATAGGTAAGAATTTTAAGTTTCAATATCTTCATTAATAATGACTAATTTTTAATGAATAATTATAATTGAACGTTCCAGGTGACTATTTAGTCGACCTTGGGGCTGAATGGGTGTGCACGGAGAGAAAGATAACGTTGCTTTTGAACTCGCCTGGCCATTAGGACTTCTCGAAAAGTCAACCGAAAACAAAGAAATTATTGGGTTCAATTTTAGAACTCGCTTATTTGGATCTTCTGGAGAAGAAATACCAGAAACTATCACAGCTCCGCTAGTTGAAATTCTTGGAGGAATAGATTATTTAATTGGTGATTAATGATTATATTGACAAATTAAAAACTGGTTCCTTTGGTGAATTAGCAGTAATCAAGTAAGTACATATTTCTTCCGCAAAAGAAAAGTATATTAAATTTATGCATCTTCTTTGGGTAGGTTCTACGAATACGTGTCAAATTCCATCCAGAAATAACTCCTGATAAATACGAACCTCTGCTTCATCTTTTTGATATGATATATGCAAATGGTGTTAGAGGCCGGAGATACTTGGCATGAAATTTCGGCAGTAGGTACAAGAGATTACGACGAGTGTGAAGGAGATCAGGCTATTAATTGCGAAAAGAACGAACTTATGCTACTATTTTGGACATACTTATGGTTTGTAATCTCTTTTTTTAGACAAAAAAAATTTTATTAAATCTAGCAAATAATTTTATCTTCTTTTGAGTAGAAAAATTCTTAAACTAAGAAATTTTTCTTAATTAAAAATTGTTTTGTCTTGATTAAAAACAATTAAACTCTTTAAAATTGTTTTCTTGGTTCAAGAAATTTTCTCCTGATTATGATTCAAGTTAATTTTTTTTTAGTGTAATTAAAAATATTAATATTAAAAAAAAGTTGTTATTTTAGAAAAAATATCCGAATCCAGAAGAAGAATTACCTGTGAAGAATATAACAAATTTAAATACAAAAGTTACTGAGATAAAATACGAAGAAACTCCCATAAAAGTAATTACTGCTAATAAAGAAAAATACTTAGCTGACCATGTGATAGTTACGCCATCTTTTTAGGAGTTCTTCAGAAGAATATCGGCACACTATTCACACGTACCACATTTAAAACTGGAAAAAAGCTTAATGCAATAAAAGTACTTGTTATTTTAATAGTTTATAAATTTTTAATTTATAATAAGATTAATTGCTTTATTTTAGAACCTTTCTTTCGGACATGTCGCTAAAATAATCCTTTATTACGAAAATCCTTGGTGGTTGGACGACCCGGTTTACTTCAGGGCTGTGTATTGGACTGCTGCTGACAGGAGACGAGAAATTGAAAAAGATGTATGATTAATAGTATCAATTTTTGTTTTCATATTTATACTAATAAATAATAATAATAATAATAATAATATTTATTTTACAGCCCGAGAAGAGATGGATGCTGGGAATATCAGTAGGAATAAGAGTAGAACACAGACCGAAGCTGATGCTCTTCTGGGTGACCGGGCCTTATGTTAGTGAGATGGAACGAACGCCTGATAATTTGTTCCAAGAACAAATTAAAGGATTCATGACGCGATTTTTTGAAAAAGCCTACAACCTCACATAGCCTACAATTATAAAGATTTCTTCAGGACTCTTTGGAACACCAACGAAAATTTCCTGGGAACTTATAGCTTCCGAGGAGTCAAAGCTGATACTGCTAATGCTCATATTGAAGATTATGCTGAGCCTATAATGAAAGATGATAAGCCCGTAAATATTTATTAATTAGTACTAATAAATTTATTTAGAGTTAGATTAAAGTTTGATTTATTATCCAGGTGCTGCAATTTGCTGGAGAAGCTACGTCGTCGCATCATTCAACAGTTGACGGAGCCATTGATTCGGGATGGCGAGAAGCTGATCGTTTGATTAATTATTATAAAAAAAATTAATTAATTAAAATATTAAGTTTAAATAATAAGAAGAAAATAAAACTAACTAGAATTATTTAGTCTTAAAGTTTATCAGTTTAGATGACCTATAACGAAAGAACAATAAATGATTAAATTAATAATCAATTTTTTTAGCAGATATTTCTATTAAAATCTATCAATAATATGATAAAACAAGCGGTAGTCCTTCAGATTACTTTATTGGATGAAAATCAAATGAACTCTGACGCTGATAAAATAGCACAAGATCAAATATCAATTTTATCTCTTAGAATATTCTATTATAAAATAAAACGCAGCGGCTATCTTTATCACATAGTTACAAAAATCCTCACAGCGTGAAAATGAAACTTTTAATTTTAATTTGTTTGATAAACTTTGCGTTATCTTCTGAAGAAATGTTTCCTCGGATTTTAATAATTGGTTCAGGACCATCCGGCATTGCGACCGCTTCAAAATTGCTTCAGAATGGATTTAGAAATTTGACTATTCTCGAAGCGGAAAATCGAATCGGCGGAAGAGTTTATTCAATAAAACTCGGTAAAATTTGTCACTTAAGTAAATATAATTTTTAATAAGTTTTGTATTTCAGGAGATTATTTAGTCGACGTAGGAGCGCAATGGGTGCACGGAGAAAAAGATAATGTAGCATTTGAACTAGCTTGGCCCTTAGGGCTTCTTGAAAGATTGAGCGACAACAAAGAATTTGATTTTAATTCGAAAATATATGGATCTAATGGTGAAGAAATATCTTTAAACGCATCAAGCTCTTTGGTTGGATATCTTATGGAGAATATTAGTTCGTCCGATTCTATCAATGAAAGCCTCAAAGATTTGAAAAGCGTTTCGTTTGGAGAATACGCTGAGAAGAAGTAAGAATTATTTTTAATATCAAAATATCTTCAGATGTTTATTTATTATTAATATTATTTTATTTTTTATTAAGGTTAATGGAATTTTTTAAAAATAACGAAGAAATACCTGCCAATAAACACAAACCATTGCTTCATCTTTTGGACATGGTAGAAATGACAAATGAAGCTGCTCCATCTTGGCACAATCTTTCGGCGAAAAACGTCAGAGATTATCCAGAATGTGAAGGAGATCAGGCTATTAATTGGAAAGAAAGAACTTATGCTACTATTTTGGACATACTTATGGTTTGTATTCTTCTTTTGCAATTAAAAAAATTATTGATATTAAAACTAAGTTGTTGCTTTTTTAGAAAAAATATCCGAATCCGGAAGAAGAATTACCTGTGAAGAATATAACAAAGTTAAATACAAAAGTTACTGAGATAAAATATGATGAAACTCCTCTAAAAGTAATCACTGCTGATAAAGAAGAATACTTGGCTGACCATGTAATAGTTACAGTGTCTTTAGGAGTTCTTCAGAAGAATATCGACACTTTATTCAAACCTCAGTTGCCTGAGAAGAAACTCAATACAATAAAAGTATCAAAAATCCTATTAAAATATTTTTAAGAAGTTTTTAAAACATTAATTCTTTTTTTTTAGAGTCTTTCTTTTGGAACAGCGGCTAAAATATTGATTTATTATGACGTTCCATGGTATGTAAATGAACCAATTGGTTTGTGGGCGATGTATTGGACTGAAGAAGACCAAAAACAAATCGAAAATGATGTATAAATTTTGCGTTTTGTTTATTTATTTATTGTGATATAAAAAAATGTTTATTTTTATTAAAAATATTGTTCCAGCCTCAGAAGAGATGGATGCTCGGTTTATCTGTAGGGTCCAAAACAGAGCACAAGCCCAAATTGTTTGTACTATGGGTCACTGGGCCTCATGTCAATGAAATGGAAACTCTTTCTGAAGAAATGTTCCAAGAACAGGTCAAAGATATTTTAAAGAGGTTTTTTGGAAAAGCCTGCAACCTCACGGAGCCTTCAATAATAAAACGGTATATTGGTTGTAGTTTTTAAGGATTGATTATAAATTTATATAAATTTATATATGTTAGGAGTTCTTGGAGCACTAATGAAAATTTTCTTGGAACGTGGAGTTACGTTTCTGTTCAAGCTGAAGTCAATGGGATTGATAATAAAGATTATGCCGAGCCAATTATGAAAAATGAGTCACCAGTAAGAAGAATATACAATTTAATATATTATTTTAATGTATTTTTATTGAGATTTTTTTTTTAATGATATATTTTTATTTTAGGTTTTGCAGTTTGCTGGAGAAGCGACTGCGTATCATTCTGCTACAGTTCATGGAGCAATTGAATCTGGGTGGCGAGAAGCTGATCGTTTAATAAAATTCTATAATAAATAATAATAAAATATAAAAATTTTATATTCTTCACAAACTAAAATTGATAATTTTTATATATTTTAATTTATTGATTGATAATTATAAATTAATTTTGAAAATAATTTTTTTTAATTAAAAATAATTCATTTGTTAAATAATAAAAATCAATAATTTATTATATTAGAATTAAGATTTAATTAAATTAATATTCTGTTAATTTAAATTGATGAATAGTAAATTGACAGTAATGGGCTTGAGAGGCTAAAGGCCATGAAAGTTTATCTAAATAGATTAAAAATAATATAAACTTAAGAGTTTGAATAGCCTAAGCAATCTAGCACTCGTTAAATTTATTTAGTCGACTTCTAAAACTTCAAACTGTATAATAGTTAAATGTATAAATTAACTTCAATGGCTACAAGACTCCTGGTCTTGTTACACTTGATAACTTATGTGTTGACCGCTGAAGAAATGTCTCATAAAATTGTAATTATCGGTGCTAGTGCCTCAGGAGTCGCAGCGGCTTCAAGATTGCTTCAAAATGGATTCAATAGTATTACAATTCTCGAAGCGGAAAATCGAATCGGAGGAAGAGTTTGTTCTATTAAAATAGGTAATGTTTAACAATATTCTTCTTCACTTTTATCATAAGCTTAAGGCATTATTTATAATTGTATTCTACAGGAGAATATTTAGTGGACATAGGAGGTGAATGGGTTGTTGGTGAGAAGAACAACGTCGTCTTTGAGTTAGCTTCTCCGTTGGGATTTCTAGAAAGATCGGCTGATCATAAAGAATTAAACTTCGCTTTAAAACTCTTCAATTCTAATGGAGAAGAAATAGCCTCTGAAATATTTGATCCCTTGATTAAGTATCTACAAAATAAAGAAGATTCTGTAACGAAGGATACAACTGGCTCTTATGGAGAACTTGCAGAAAAAGAGTAAATTCTTATTGAAAATTCCAATTGTATATTATTCATTTATTTCTTCTTTGTTTTTTGGATAAATAAATACGTAAAAACTCATCCAAAAATCCCTGAAAGTTTGTATAGACCGCTGATGGACTTTTTAAATTTTAAACATGTCAAAAATGTCTGAACATGGCGGAGCTACTTGGAACGAAGTTTCGGCGAAAGCTGTTCGATTTTATGACCATTGTCCAGGAGATCCGCTTATTAATTGGAAGGAGAGAACTTACGCTACTGTTTTGGAGTACATACTTATGGTTTGTATTCTTTTTTTGTTATTAAAAAAATTAAAATTATCTTCTTTTGAGTAAAAAACTTTTAAAATAAGCAATTTTCTTGATTTAAAAATTTTTCGTCTTGATTCAAAACAATTAAACTCTTCAAAATTATTTTCTTGATTCAAGTTAATTTTTTTTAGTGTAATTAAAAATATTTATATTATAAAAAAGTTATTATTTTAGAAAAAATATCCGAATCCAGAAGAAGAATTGTCTGTGAAGAATATAACAAAGTTTAATACAAAAGTTACTGAGATAAAATATGAAGAAACTCCTGTAAAAGTGATCACTGCTAATGGAGAAGAATACTTGGCTGACCATGTTATAGCTACGCCATCTTTAGGAGTTCTTCAGAAGAATATAGACACACTATTCAATCCACAATTACCTGAGAAGAAACTTAATGCAATTAAGGTAATTTTGTTTGTTGGATTTATAAAAGAAAGTATTTTAATACTCAGATATTTTTATTTTAGAATCTCTCTTTTGGAAGCACGGCTAAAATAATTCTTTACTATGAAAATCCTTGGTGGTTAAATGATCCAGTTCATGCAAGGGGAATATTATTATTTTAATTTTAGATAATATTTATAAACAGACTTTTGGATAAAAAAAAAATATTTTTTTTTCTTCAGCCACAAAAGAGATGGCTGCTTGGAATTTCTTCGGGAATCCGAGTGGAACACAAACCAAAGTTGCTCTTATTTTGGGTCACAGGGCCTTATATAAAAGAAATGGAAACGCTGCCAGAAGAAATCTTTCAAGAACAAGTTAAAGAATTTGTGAAGCGATTTTTTGGAAAAGCTTACAACCTCACGGACCCTAAAATCATCAAAAGGTATGATTTGGTACTTTTTGTTTTTTAAAAGTTGAATTAATTAATTGTGGATTTTTTTTCAGGAGCCTTTGGAACACCAATGAAAATTTCCTTGGGGTCTATAGCTTCTACGGATTACAAACAGATGTATCTGGTCCTCATACTGAAGATTTCGTTGATCCAATCATGAAATTCGACAAGCTGGTGAATATTTTAATGAAGATATATGAGAAGAATAGTGTGGATTTTTTTTGAAAATAATTTTAATGTTTTATTATATAGGTTTTGCAATTTGCTGGTGAAGCTACTACTTCTCATTACGGCATCTCATTACGGCATACAATAAAAATAATTAAAATGACAAATAAACTTTTAATTAAATTAAAAAATTTAATTGAGAAAAATTGTATTTTTTGATTTTCAGAATGAAATTTTTTTATATTCATCAACTGCAAAGAAAAAAAAAGTAATGATATTTTTATGAATTTTAAAAAATACTTTTATACTTTTGATAAAATTTTTTAGATTTTTTTCAACAAAAAAATAAAAAAAATTGACTACAAATTTGTAATGTTGATGTCTTTTGAGTTCTTATCAGTTCTACAAACAGTATCAGCCTATAAAATTATTTTATTACAGGAATGTCACATTTTGAAAATAAAAGAGCATTCCATAAATTTTATTTTTAAAAAATGAATAATATTAACATTAAATAAAATAAACTATTTTATTAAAACAAATAATCGGACGGATAAATGGACATCAAAACTTCTTAAAATTATCAAAACACTATCATTTAAATTAACATAAATATATGTTCATATCTATATTTTTTTTTAACAATATTAATACTGTAAAAAAAAGATTCAATTAATTACGCTTAACTCTTTCAGATTCCTGTTTACTCCAAAGCGCTTCAAAGATGTCCGACCCATTGATATACTCCTTATTAGTCATAAGCTTCAAATTTATTGGGTCAACATATTTAAACCTCCAAATTTTGTAGTACACTTCATTAGTAATATTATCAAAATAAGTAATATTAAACTCGTCTTTCAATGCTAATTTCCAAACCTAAAAAAAATGGCTTTTATAAATTCCATCTAATTAAAATAAAACATTTTTAAAGAAAAAACATACCTCTTGTTCAGGTACTGGCGTAGGAGCAGGTTTATTTCCATAAATTCCTCTATTGTGTACAAACAAGTGATAAAGGTAGTAATTGATAGTATACAATCGTTCTGCATCAGGAACACTGAATGTAACCGACCTTGGAGAGCAGCAATCTCCTCTACTAGGATACACTGCTCTTGTAAAATAATTTCCTAATTTATTCAAGCCCCATAGAAGAGTTTGTAATGGATAGCCATGAAATATATCTCTTAGTTTATGATCTCTGGTATCAGACGGTTGAATATTCAAAGCGGCTAAATGCTTGCCGAGATAGTAGTCTTCTTGTTTCCAATATTTACCACCCGCCAAGCATTTTTCGTGAGTATTAAAGTGACTAATTACTTTTTCAACAGCTCCTCTGCTCAAAACGTAGCCAGCTTGGGCGACATTGTAAGCTTGGCCCCATAAAACAACCGGGTGTCCCAAATAATGGCCATCATTGTAGTCCAGCGGAGCGACGTAGTACCTTAAATTTTCTAATAATATCATAGTATCGTCCTTGATAACAATCACCCATTGCAGTGAGTCATTTAAAGACTTCCATACGTGGTGCAATGATTCACAAAGTAGTTGCCACGATGACGTAATTTTTACCGATAATTTTACTATCGATGGATCGCTGCCGCTATCGGTGACCTTGTGGGAAAAAAAATACACCTTGTTGCAATTTTTACTCCATGTATTATAAATCGCTTTGGCTAGTTTTATTTTTTCTACAAATACTACGCATACAATGTTTATTTTTGACTTTAACCAATCTGACTCTAGGGAAGATGATGTATAATTACTCTCGAATAATGAGCCGTAGTATTGATGGTCCAGGTTGATTTTTGATAGGGTAATATTATATCCTCTCAGCCATTTTTGGTACTTAATTTTTTGAGGGTCTTCAATAAAATCATCTTCTGGTAAATTGATGTCTCGGTCTGATGATTTCACACCACGTATCGTCAATTTTTTGTTTACTACAAATGTGTTTTTATTTTTTAATTTCAATGATTTACCATGGCAGTCTTTGTAATTACAATTGTTGAATATAGAAGCTAAGTAGAGTGTAATTATAAATCCAATAAAAAATCCTAAAAAGAATGTCAGCTTCCTTTTTAATAAACGCAGGTACATTATGCTCGAGTTATTATTTCTTCGTGTTTATCAAACATTTTTTTTATTGCACAATTGTTGAGCCTAGAAAAAAAAAAAATGATTAAGTATTTAATTATATGTTTAATAAAAATTTTGATATTAAAATTAGCAGTCACTTTATAATTTATTTAATAAATAAAATTATTATTAAAGAATTGCATTTTTAATTCATTAAATTTTCTAAATGTCAATTTTTTTTATCCAATAATTTATTAATTAGAAAAATTCTTAAAATTATTTAATATCTGCTAAATTAATTTTCATTTCTTAAATATACTTACAATTTTTTTTTTTACTTCAATAACATGTTTGTAAATCAATTAGTGTCGATAAGTGATTAGAAGCATGAGCAACAATTACTATTACCAGTGATTGTCATTTTCAACATTACATTCTAAATTACTTTTTACACAAACTTTTAATTGTAAACACACAAACAATAATATTTTCTTAACCTCCACATGTTTAAAAATTTTAATTTATATAAATTTTAATTAAAATAATAAATTTTACATTATAAAAAGTGAAAAAGTTACTTTAGTATATACAAATTGGTTGAATGCTTATTTATAAAAATTGTTATTATTATTTTTTACATACTATAGATCTGTTAGATCCTTACCAGCTGATCTATAGTAATTTATAATTTATTAAAACCCACAATTTATTTGACACTTCATCACTTTAAAGCTAATTTAAAGAAGAAATAATTTTTTATAAATAATTAATTAATAGTTTTTGTGTTATAAACTTTTTTTTGTAATTAAAAAATAATTAAAGAACGTGTCAAAAAAAGGTTGGTAAGATAGAAATTCACAGAGAGAGCCACCTGTCAATAAAATAGAGAACTACACTAAGCATTACCGAAGATTTGTAAACACAAAATATTTTTTTTACGTAAATGTTCACATTGTTCTTGCTAATCCAATAAGAAAGTCCAATACTTTAACCCTTCAATAATTTTTAAAACGCAAATAAATAATTAAATTAATATTCTTGGAATAATAACAGCTGTTTTAATAAAAATAATCGTGGTGCTATTTTAGATAATAAAATATTAAGTAAAAAAATTTAATTTGTATGTATAAAAATTATTAATAATTTTTTGTCACTTAAAAAGGGTTAAAGTTTTAAAAATTAAATAATTTATTTATCCGGCAGGTTTAAATAAAAAAGAAGAATATAATGATAAAATAATTACAATAATCATGGACAACGATAAAGACCAGGTGAAAAAAAATGTCAAGGAAGATAAAAATAAAAACACCGAATATTGTAATGAGACAGTGAATGGAAATTTCTCAAACATGGAAGTTGAAAATAAAACTGATGATAATTCAATTGGAGGAATTGTCATTGATAATTTATCAATGGATTGCGACAACGCAGTCGAGAAAAATCTTGAAAAATGTGATGATGACAATAATAAGATTGATAGTGTGGATTGTAAAACAGACAATGAACCTCTAGAGAAAAAATACAAGCCTGCAAATGTCAATGGCTCGTTGGAAAATCATGATAATAATGTGCCGAATGACAATCCAGTGGAAGGTATTTTAATTTTTGTATTTTAGGTAGAAAATTGAACTTATTTGATTTTTTTTTTTGCAGATGTATTGGATAATGCAGGCTCTGGAAATCCTTCGAGTGAAAATAATACAAGGCCCGAGTCTTCAGGTGCTGACAAGAGTTTGCCAAGCTGCAGCCATGCAAAAATCCAAAAACCCAAGTCTAAATTAAAAAAAAGGCATTACAGAAAAAATTCTGATAATAATGATGATTCTGACAGTAAGTCTGGGAAAAAAGCACGAGATTCTAACTCTAGTTCACAGGAATTGGACTCTTCGGTTGATGATGAGTCTCATAATGTTGTTGATCCTGAAAACACGAGTAAGAATTCCAACCAAGATACCGAAAGGAATTCTAATTCTGATGATAGTGATAAAGTTATAGATAGTGTAAAAGGTAGTGAAAATTTTTTTATTTTTTTTTTAAAAATAAGCTAATTATATAAAATTATTTTTAAAAAATTGCAGTTATAATTTTTCAGAAAAATTTATTTGTTAAATAAAATTAATAAATTATCAAGTAACTGTTAATTACAATGTCATGTATTTTATTATATTTTATGTTTTATCTTATTATAAATAATTTGAACAATAATAATTATTTTTTTTTTAATTTTAATTTAGAAGGTGACTCTGATGAATGGTCAACAGCCAGCGAAGAAGAAATAAGCATGGAAGTACCGGAAGTATTGACCAAAGTAAAACCAAAGCCAAAGTGGTTTATGGTACCAGAGATGATAAATCGTGAGATTGGTAATAATAGGTTCTTTAATCGAAGGTTCTATGGTTCTTTGCACACTGTACAGAGGTTGGAACTAATGCACAAGTTAGACGGACACGAGGTTCATATAAAAAATATATTAATTAAATTTTTACTTATTATTTCTTTATAAATGTTTTGATATAACTGAATGAATTTTAGGGTTGTGTCAACGCATTAAACTTCAGTGAAGACGGAACTAAGCTGGCTAGTGGCTCAGACGACTTGCAAGTTATTGTCTGGGACTGGGCGTCCGGAAAGAAACGGGGTGTCTTTGAAACCGGACATTCATTGAATGTCTTTGAAGCTAAATGGTTACCGATTGACTATGAGTCGTACATTGTAACTTGTGCTCGTGATGGTCAAGTTAGACTGCTAGATTTAAATACAAATGTACATAAAAAGCTGGCCAGTCATCGCGAGGAAGCGAGAAGACTCGCGACTCATTCTGATAATCCTTACAACATTCTGTCTGTTGGGGACGATGGAAAAGTACTGTCGATAGATATTCGTGTTGAAAAATCAACCAGGTAATAATAATTTCTGGATAAGTGTATTTTTAAGTTTTAAATTACTGATAATTTTTTTTTCGCTGCAGATTGATGACAGTCAAGGAAGATGGCAATCATACGATGCTTTATACTATTCATATAAATCCACGTGACAGTCAATATTTTTGCGTGGGCGGTCGTTCTCAGAGTGTTAAAATATTTGATCGACGAAGAGTTCAAGAACCTGTTCAAAAATTATGTCCGAGAAATATGGTAATTCTTTTTATAATTAATTTGATAAATTAAATCAACTAAATTAATTTTTTTATCCAGCCTATAGACGGACAAACAGCATACGTAACATCAGCGGTGTATAATTACAATGGAACAGAAATAGTCACATCTTACAATGACGATGATATTTATCTGTTTGATACTGTTTCACCAAATCCAACTCAAGACTATGCTCATAAATACGAGGGTCATCGTAATAGCGCAACTGTTAAAAGTGTCAATTTCTTTGGACCCAAAAGTGAGTTTATTGTTTCCGGGTCTGACTGCGGAAATATTTTCTTCTGGGATAAAAATTCTGAAGCTATCGTTCAGTGGATGCAGGGAGATGATCAAGGAGTGGTAGGATTATTTTTAAATTATTTTATTTTAATACATTGAAATAATATTAATTAAATTAATTAATCAATCAAATATTCACAGGTTAATCGCTTGGAACCACATCCATTTGTACCAATGTTAGCGACTAGTGGTCTTGATAACGATATTAAAATTTGGGCTCCTACCAGTGGATTTCCACCCGCAATGAAGGATTTAGATGTCGTAAGTCTTCCTTTATCTAAATAAAAATTATTAATACTTAAAAAATTAAATTAATAAATAAAATGTTTCAGTGTGTTAAAACTAATATGAAAAGACGGGCAGATGATATCACTCGTGAACCAGATCCATTTGACTCACGAATGCTCGCAGTATTTCTTCGTCATATCAGTAGATACCGTCGCTTCAGAGTAAGTAGTCGATTAGGAGGAGTTCAAGGAGCCTCAGCAGCTCGAAGAGCAGCAAATGATCGCTCATACGGGGACAATTCAGATTCCTCAAGCGATTCAAATAGCAGCAGAAACAGTGATAGTCAATCTGATGATGATATGGAAGGTCATCAGTGTTCAACTTCATAAAAATATTTATATTTATAGTTATAAAGTTGAGTTATTTTCACCCCAAAATATTTTCATTGTTTAAACGGTCGTTTTGATCATTTAATGTTGCTTTATGTTATCTCTGTGTTTTCTACTTAAATATTCCCCGTATTAAATAATAAAAAATTTTTATTAAATAAATTTTATTTTTTTTTAAGATACCCTTTTTGAAAATAATAATTGAACAATTTATTCTCAAGCTTACGATTGTCAAAAATAAATTATCTAGAAGTAAATTATTAATTTTTATTACAATCTTAAAAAGTAAATTTGACAATTGGATGATTTATGTTTAAATAGTAAATATTACTATGAAAAAATTAAAGGCAGTGAAAAACTTTAAAAGAATTAAATTTGATACTTAAAAAATTCCGATGGATTTTGCTAGACCAGCGTAAATATGAAGGGTGATTCCACCCATGAAGAGAGTCGTCACCGCTTTGATGAGCAGCGATGACCAAGGTCCAGCGAGCAGTAAAGAAGCTAATAAATCTAATAATAATGGCCTGTATACGGTTAACAGCAGCATGCTGATCACCAGCGGGACCAAGCTTTTCTTCAAATCATGTCGCGACCACAGCCAGACTAGTGTTGCGGTCGTTATATGTTGCACTAGAGATATATTCGATTCCAAGCATTTCTGGATATATTTCCAGTCGAATTCAGCTCCTCGGGCTCCTACCCACAGGAGTAGGAATCTTGTCAAAAGAACTTCCGCTCCAGCCCAGCCGATTCCTGCTGTCAATACTTTGGCGTGTCCTTTTCCGGGGATTCCTTTTAGGACTACCAATAATCCTACTAGGTCTGCTAAGTCTATTGAGTATTTCCAAAATTCCTGGAGTAAATTTCAATAAATTAAAATAGTAAATAAAAATAATTCAATTTTATTAACAATAAAAATTTAATTAGCCGATATTTAAATTTTTATTGAATACGTACCCCAAAAATGTCAAAGCCATCCTGACTAATGTTGTCAGCAGTAGGGAAAAATGTTGCAAGCGCTAACATTTTTACAAGTTGAGTAAATATATAAATGCCACCTGCTTGAATGCATTTCCAAAATGCTCCGTATTCTGATCTGTAAAATTTATTTTTAATTAAAATAAATGATAGTAAATTAAGACATCTAATAATTTTTATATTAATTAGTAAAATCTTGATATTAAAAAAAATTCAGAATTTGAATTTTTGTTATTTCTACTAAATAAAATTTTTTTAAATATTCTTTATAATAATTTAATTGTTATAAAAATTGTTAGATACCTGCTGATTTTAATATCATGTAAATAAAGTAATATTTTTTTGTACTTACAGCCCAGAATATTTATATGTTAAGTAGTATGGCACATAAACTAGTGCTACACAATTACCAAAATGATATAATGTCATTTTTATGTTATAATTACTAAAATTAAGTTAAAATTATTTTATCATAACCTATCACTAAAATAGAACATTTAATTTAATTATTAAACTCCAAATCATCAAGTGGAGATATGAGATACGAGGTGCAGAAAAACAAACAAGCAATAAAGAGGGCGTGGATGTTTGAACTTTGAATTGTTGATAATGGCGGCTTTAGTGAGTCAGCAGTTGGTACGGTTGAAATTTTTTTGAGAAGATTCTGTTGAAAATAAATTTAAATTGAAGATTATTATAATTGTTAAGAGTGAAAAAAGTGTTAAAAAATGTTTATTGTGTGATATTATAAAAAAAGTTTGTGATTTAAAAAAAATTATTGGATTTTTCAATTAAATTACTATGAAAAAGTTTTGACAGGTAAGAAAAAAAAACATTTTTATAATTATTTATTATTGAAAATTAAAAGAATTGTCGGTCTGTTGATTTTAATATCATAAAAATTTTTTATTGTTAGAAAATAATTTTAATAAATACTTTTTTATTAAAATTTTAATTTTTCAAAGTCTCAACAATAAAAAATTAACTATCGATTCATTTTTTATTTAAATATTTCAACTATCGATTTCTAAACTGTAAATGTATCTCTTTCTGAAGCCATCAGGTCATATCCTTTTTTTACCCCTTCAAGGGGTTGTTAGTTCCCAACATAAAAAAAGGGCTACCAGCACCCCTTTACTTGTAAAAAACTGTGCCCATAAAAGAAGAACGCTGAAAAAACCTTAACTAGCTGTTTTAAAATTTTTGTACTTAAAATTCTAAATATTAGCTTTAATTTTTTGGACAAAAAATTTTTTAACTAATCAAAATAATTAGTTAAATTTTATTTATAATTGACTTGCGAGAAAATTTTTAAGCTTAATTAAAAAATTATTTAAATTGCTATTATTTTGAATATTTATATATATTATGGAAATATATTATACTGCGCATTTGATATCAGTAAACGATAGGAAGTTTGCAAGCTTCGTTTTAAAATCCGTGGTGGTGGGATCTGTTCTTTAAGGGATGTTCAAGGTAGCAGCCGATTGGTTCAGACCTAACCAGCTATCCCGTATTCACAAGTTTATATCGAAAGGGTAGTTCAGTGTTTCTCAGAGCATTCAAGTTGTCACTTCATTTTTTATATTAAAGTAAAAAATTTATAAAAAATTTTTCAATGTGGATTTTGGTTCAAATTTTAGTGTGTGAATTTTTTAAATGTGCGTTTGTGTGATTTTTTTATTAATTAATATCAATTTTACTTTTTTATAGTGTAAAAAAAAATTTATTTATACTTTTTGAAGATAAAAAAATTTTTTTATTAAATTAGAATTAATTAAAAAAAAAAAAAAATTTTTTACGACAAAATTCTAATTAAATTAAGGTTCAAAAAACTTTTTAATTTAATTGAAAAAATTATTTATTTATTATTCAATCAATTTATTTAATTTTTAAATTTTGATCTTTCAATTTTTAATTAAATGAATATTAAGTATTTATTTTAAAATACAATTCATTAATAATGCTTAATTAAATGAATTATTAAAACTAAATAAATAACGAATAATTTTAAAAAGTCAAAAAAATATTTCTTAAAACTAACAGAAGCTTCACTACATATTTATTTTCACCATAATTTATTATTTATAAAAACTCTGACTCTAACGATCATCGAAAAAAATTTCTATTAAATATTTATTGCTCAGTTCTTTTTATAAAACAAGTTTTTGTTAGATCAGCTTGTATCCATCATATTTCATAATATTTTTTCAGAACATTAACTACATTTTATTTTGAAAATAGCTTCTGATTTAAAAAAAAAAAAAAAAAACAAAAAAAAAACGGTGCACTATTCCGATGGGTAAACGTACAAAAAATAATAAATAAAACGGTATTAGCTAACATCTGTGCAAGGGTTGACGAAAATCTAAAAAAGAACACTATGTACCCCTTTTTACAGTTCACCCTTCCATTCACCCCTTTTTTAAGGCCTCAACGTTCCTAAAAAACATAACAAAGCCTCTGTAAAAAGTCATTTTTATAAATTATATTTTGTTATAAAAAACGAAAAATTTTAAAATAGAATTTTTAGAACTTTTGAGCTTTTTGGTGGAATTTTTCTCTAGATTGATGAGTAGTTTTGACTAAAATTTTTTAATTGTTCAATTATTTTTTAATAAATAGAGTTTTTTACAAAAAGGGGTGTGGTTTTAGTGGAAAAATATATAGAATATCCTGGGAACATTGGCGTTCTTAGAAACTCGTGGGTGGAGCTTATTTTTCCTTGCGCTTTGCATTTTTTGAGTCGATGGGAAGGGTTTCAGAGTTACTTCAGCATTTACGGTATAAGTGTTAATAAAATAACTTAATTTTAATATTTTTAGATAATATTCAAAGATAAGATCCTTTTAAATCCAAAAAATCATTTTATTTTTTGTTCGAGCTATTTTATCCTCTAATTTGTTGATAAAAAATAAAATTTTGGCAAAATATAATCCATTATTCTTCCTTTTAACATTATTATAAAAAATTACAGTGAAATTAATTATTTTTAAAGTAGTTAATCCCAAAATTCATCAAAAATAATTCAAGCTTTGGTTTACAGATCATTCAGAGCACTAATCGAATTATTAGTTAACTAAAATGTGCATTAGTTCAAAATATATTGAAATAATGAATTCAAGTGTTAAATTAATTAATTTTTCCACAAATGTGACAACAAATGGCGTCGCGGTGGATTTTATAAAAAAATTTCCTCGGCTAAAGTTTTACGGTATTGGATAAATCTTTTAATTGTAAGTATTTTAATTATATCTTACAACAAGACATGTTTTAATTTTTTTATTTAATAAATAAGAATAGTTGGTCATTAAAAAAAATTATATATTCATCATGCTTTAGTTCCGTCGGACGTTGACGTAGATTTTTGCATTCGCGTGTTTAAAGATGCAAAGAAAATTTTCTATTTCATTAGAGCAATGTTTTATATTCATAAAAAATCAATTGAGATTTAAATACTGTCAGTAGTCAGTTATTTCTTCATAAATTTCTCAAATAACGATGTCATCGTGATGGTGCTAAAATTGGTTAATCGCACTTACAAGTGTAGATGAAGTACTTAGAATCTCAATAAATTCAGTAATGTATTTTCTATTATCTCTATTTTTATGGAAAATTGTTTTCATAACTTGTATTTAATACAAATTTGTAATTTTTTGAGAATTAATTTCAGTTTTTATATTTTAAAGCTTCAATTATTTTGCATCGAATAATTTTTCATAGTATTCTTCAATCTAAATAATTTTTGCTGAGTTAATTTGCAATTATTCAATACATGTTTGATTTCTGTAGCTGCCGTCAGAAGTTTTTGATCAATTTTACTTTCAATTGTATGTTACAAGCTAAAAAATTTTCGTCTTTTAAAAATCAGTGACTTGTAAACGTTATTTATGTCAGTAAATTGAATTTAGCTTTATGAATTAGATGATATTACTCTTAAAAAAATTGATTAGACCTAAAAGAAAAAATCTTGATCTAAAAAAATTATTTTAAAGAAATTCTTGTAATTATTTCTAATTATATAAAATTTTCTTGAATAAAGAAATGCTATTGTTCAAAATTTAAGCTCCAATAATTCTTAGAAATAATCTTTTCGGCTCAAAAATTTTTTTCTTGAATCGAATTAATTTTTCATCAGTTCATTATTAAGCGATATTAGTGTTTTAATAATTTTATTAACAATTTAATTAGTTAACAAAGACATAAACCAATGAGGAACAAAGAAAATTTTTTTTATCGGAATATTAGACTTATATAAAATTTAATAAGATACATTTCAGAGATTAAGAGGGTGAGTATCGGTATCTTATTCAGAAAAATGATTACCAGTGGCTGAATTTATTGATATACCTTTATTATAAAATAACTTCGCCGGTTCTATTTTATCAGTTACCATTTCTACAGCTTTCAATTTTATCCAGCGAGTTCTCTTGCAGTCGTACGGTATAAAACCGAGTTTTCTGATCAGCTGTCGAGGGGTTGAAGCAGTACCAGACAAAGTTACCCTTATTTCCGAAAATCGATGAAAGAGCTTCGAGTTCTTTCTGTGGCTTTTAGATGTCGCGAATTTATAGATTTCAAAAAACTGAAGTTATTGGCTGTATCTGGACTTTTTAATAAGTCTATTTATTCCAGAATCGATGCATGATAAACTTTAATACTTTAAATGACAGCATGAGCTTTGAAAATTTTGAAAAAAGACATTTTAGGTCTTGAAATTATTGTAAATTCATCTCTTAATTGAAAATAGGTTTACAAATTTTGCAATTAGTCGTAAAGTTTGATGAACTAAATTACTAATTAGCAAATAATTTATCTTTGTAATTCGAAACCAACTCAGTAAACTAAGGGAGACTTTTTTATTATCAAATGTGTGTTGCTTGAATAAAAAAAAATAATATCTACAATGAATCGTTTGTCGAAATCTCCTAAAATGTTTACTTGGCATCAAAGTCATCGGAATTGCAAGGTTTACGTTTACTTTGCCTCCCATTCGAGGGTTAAAATCCTCAAAGTAACGATATATTCGTAGAGTTTTTCTGTTGAATGCTTGAATTTTTTTCATCTCCTTCTTTACCTTTATTTATTTATTTATTTATTCTTTTTTTATATTTTATCTCACTACAGCAAGATCTATCAGGGTCCACCTCTCCTTTTCTAGTTTCTCATAGTACGTGGTTTGTGTTTGCATTTCTTTCCCGAGGGATGGTAGACGTGCAATTTCGAAAAGCCGATTTCAATTCCGTTTTCTTTTCAGGAAAGAAATCTCGAGAGCTACAGTCTGAAGTCCAGGACTCGCTTTGGCAACGGAGGGTGAGCGGTCACTCGGGATTACGCTGGTCATATATATAAAACCTCGGATATATATTTACGTGTAAAAGTCCACCAATTCTTATCAAAGTAGCCAATCATTTCGAAGTTCCGATATT